TAAGAACCTTTCGCAGTATAACTATCATAGAAACTGAACTTGGTAATTACAATCCGGCTTAACTGCAGTCTAGGGGGAACCATATCCGGGTGACCTCTCTTAACCTGAATACAACAGTTTACTTGCTTTGTTAGTTTGTTAGTTTAGACTTGCATTAAAATTTCATTGCTAGATAACAAGAATTCACCGAGTAGTCATCAAATCTAGGACCCGGGTTGACATTTAAACCCAAACCCGCTATACTACGCTTTAGGAAGTTGTTACACTTGGCCAATTCCTAGGGTGACAGTAGAAGTGAGTCAAGTTTTTGGCGCCGTTGCCGGGGACGGCTAGGTTGTTGAAGAAAAGTGATTTCTGTTAATTTAGCTTTTCTTTTCGCTTTGTCTGCTTTGTCCCAATTGTGCCTTCACGGGTTTGCTTGCTTGAGTGTGTGCAGGTAGTGCATGACCCGTAGCCAGTCAGGAGGTTTACTGCCGTTGACTCCAGAGATTGACCGCACCTGTCTCCAGCTCAGGAGACAACAGCGAGCTAGACTGGCTACGGAAGAGCGCATAGACGGCCACCTGAGTAGCGATTCTGAAGAAGAGTACGGGATGGACGGAGACTACAATCAGCACCAGGGGAATCCTCAGCAGTTTCCCCCCCGGTAAATCAGGTCCTGGGGAACAACCCCATACCCCAGGATCATGGGGTTCATCATCCACCGCCGCCGGGTCCCACCTTGTAGTACTACTACACTCCTCGGATTGCTGACATCCGCCCGGTCATCCTCTACCCGCCTATTCTAGCAAACAACTTCGAGATCAAGCCATGCTGGATTCAGCTCATTACATCTTATATCCAGTTCCATGGCTTGAAGGATGAGGAGGCCAGGGTGCATCTTTCCCGTTTTCTGCAGCTGACGAATGGGTTCAAGCTGAATGGTGTCCCGGATGATGCAATCCGCCTTCATCTCTTCCCCCATTATCTGGCGGGGAATGCTAAGAGGTGGTTGGAGACCCAGCCCCCATTGTCCATCACCTCTTGGGACGATCTGGCTGACAAATTCATGCGCAGGTACTATCCGGCATCAAAGACTACAGAGATCCAGCGGGAGATCACTCACTTCCGCCAAGAGCCAGATGAGTCACTTCGTGATGCATGGGAGCGGTACATGGGATATTTCTGGCAGTGTCCCCATCATGGCTTTAGTGATGCATTCACAGTGGGGAACTTCTACAGTGCTCTCTCTCTCCAGACAGCCAGAGGGTGATTGAGTCTCTATGCCCAAGAGGGGATATTCTTACTAGGACTCCACCCGAGCTGAACCAGATGATCAGTACTTTGGCTGCCAGAGATCATTCTTGGGGACAGGGTAGCCGAGACAGACAGTCCCGGGACCGTAGTGTGCACACCATGGAGACCAGATCCGGGCTCGAGCAGCAGGTAGCTGAGCTAGTGCAGACATTGAAGCAGCCCAACAGTCTTATTCCGGGCAGAGGTTTGGCTACACCTCCAGTAGCTCAATGTCAGTGGTGCGAGAGCTCCAATCACCTAGTGGAGGACTGCCAGGCTATGAGGGAGTCTACCACTCCCCAAGAGCAGTTGGACTTCATCGCCAATGCTCGGCGCCTCGACCCGTACAGCAACACATATAATGAGGGGTGGTGCCAGCATCCCAACTTCGTCTGGAGCAGCAACACCACTAAACCACCTGGTTTCCCAGCACCAGTAGGTGGTTTTCAGCAGAGGCAGCCCTTCCAGGCTCGACAGGGGCCAGCCCCACAGCAGCAGCCCTACCAGCCTAGGCAAGGGCAACCATTCCAACAGCCCCAGCGTCAGTTTGTCGAGCCAGCAGCAGCCCCTGCCCTAGATGACCGGATGACAAAGCAGGAAAATATTCTAGCTTCATTCATGACTAGCACTCAGGCTGCTATCACGTTACTGGAGGCAGGTCAGCGGAACCAGGGTGCCATTTTGCAAGATCTGCAGACCCAAGTGGGCATCTTGGCCCGCCAAAACACTACCAGGACACCGGGGACTCTGCCTGCCACCACTATCCCGAATCCTCGGGATCCTCACCAGCTCCAGCAGCTGGATGCCATTTTTACCAGGAGCGGTAAGACCATATCTGCTGATCCTGTCCCGGCCAGACAGGAAGAACCATCACCTGCTTCAGCACTTCCAGCCGACGATGCAGAAGTGCGAGTGGAGAAGGAAGCCCCTGCTCCCAAGCCACAACCAGTGGTTAAGGAGCATGTGCCCCAGCTTCCCTTCCCCACTCGCCTACACAAAGACAAGTTGGAGACTGAGTTTGCCAAGTTTATGGCAATGTTGAAGCAGCTCAACATCAGCATACCGTTCGTGGAGGCCCTGTCGAAGATGCCCAAGTATGCCAAGTTCATGAAAGATCTCCTCACCAACAAGAAGAAACTTGGGGATCTCTCGAAAGTGTTGCTGAGCGAGGAGTGTTTTGCTATCCTGCAGAACAAGCTGCCCGAAAAGCGCAAGGATCCAGGGAGTTTTACTATCCCTCTTACTATTGGCAGCATGCATGTAGGCAAGTCCTTGGCGGACCTAGGCGCTAGCATAAATGTCATGCCATATAAGTTGTATAAAAAGCTAGACCTAGGTGAACTTAGCCCTACTAGGATGAGCATTCAGCTGGCTGATCGTTCCATTGTGCATCCTAGGGGAATCATAGAGGATCTGCTTGTCAGTGTCGATGCATTCACATATCCTGTTGATTTTGTTATTCTTGATATACATGAGGATGTGGATGTACCTTTGATTCTGGGTAGACCATTTCTTGCCACCGCCAAGGCACTTATTGATGTGCATGATGGTGAACTGATCCTGCGTGCTGGGAATGAACAGGCTATTTTTTTGTGACTGAATTTGATCACTGTGCTATGATTGCTGTCACACCTGTGCATGCCCTTTCTGATCAGGTACACGAGCCTGTCATTTATCCTTCTGCACCTCTCATTTTGCAGGACCCTCCTATCATTCCTTCGCCGCCACTCCATCCAGCCTCGCCTCCGAACAAAAAGATCAAGGAGGAGTGGCGGCCGAAGCAGCAGGTTGCTAAGCCTGTTCGGAAGAAAGGTGGAGACCACTATGAGCTGGTCCCACCTCCTGCACCACGACCACCCTGGCCGTCTGGGTACTCACTCGCCTGCATCTTGCCAGATGGCCAGTTCGAGCTGACCGATGATGGTAGTCGCATCCGTCGGGTGCATGGCCACAACCTGAAGCTATACCTCAATAGCGACGTGGATCCGCTCTTGGAGGCACATGTTCATGCACCTCCCTGAGTATCCACCATGGGCGTCCAGCTAAAAGACGGTAAAGAAGCGCTTGTGGGGAGGCAACCCCACCACGGTTTGACTTTCTCTCTTGTGTTTTGAGTCGGATTGTAAACCATTTTGGTTTTGGTTTGTTTTCTTTTTGTTTTGGATGATGTATTATTGGGCTGACCATTGGACCTAACATATCGTGTTTGAGCTCTTTGGTTTCCTTTAGCTGTGCTTGTCTTGACTGGTTCTCTATCCAGTCCGCTTCACTCCGACTGGTCCGCTTCCAGTCTCCTGCAGTCCGTGCATACCGGTAACATCGTTCCCCTTCCTTCCCTCTTCTCCATTGAGGGCAATGTCGATCTTAAGTGTGGGGGGATGTTTATCTTTTGACTGCATTAGATCTGTTTGTGTGCTTGGAGCCTAGTCCACTGTCCAAATTTTTAAAATTTGAGGGCTCCAAGTACGTGTTCCGTGCAATTGCCTGCTCAGTATGTTTTGAATTGACAGTCTTTATAGTAATATGCAACCTAGGGAGGTAGTGTAGTACTATGGAGGATGTTGATGCATTTAAGAAGTCTCATTTCTTCTTCATATTGTGTTGGTTGATTGAGTGAATTAGTGATCTTAGGACCCTTGAATTGTGTGGTGTTGTGGACTCTCTACCTGTCATGGACTCTTGTTTCATGTTTTGAGTTTAACAGGTGCTCGAAAATGTGCTTCAAAATAACGTCTCCCGTGCGAATAGGGCGAAAGTGTGTAAGGGGAGACGGGAATCCGTTCCCAATTTCCACCTACTACCTCCAGCCCCCTTACATGTCTTTCCCCCTCACGAGGCTCGAGACATCCGCTCCTGGCATGGCCGGTAAGAGCAGGTTGGGACCCTTGAAAGAAAAAAAAAGAAAAAAAAAAGTAACAGAAAACAAGCAAAACAGAAAGAAAAGGGGTTCCAACCATCTTCAAGAAGAAAATAGAGCACCTTGAAAAATGTGAGTCCATGATCCTTTGTTTTTGAGAATCTCTTCATCCACAATTCATTTGTCCTCTGTTCACTATTCGCCATGATGCCGACTCGATACTAGTGCTCTCGCCGAAGGAGCTATGAGATGACTTGTGCGTCGGTTGACCTCGTAAGCTGCTAAATGATCTAGGAAGTCCTCTACCTACGATCTGGCTTGTTTGTTGCTATAGAGGTCTGGAGAGCTGCATTGGTTTGAGTTAGGTTTGCTTGGGGACAAGCAAACGGTTAAGTGTGGGGGAGTTTGATAACGATGTAATTGCACATATTTGCGCCCCTAGTTCTTATCCGTTTGAGGAGCATATTCGTGTATTTTTTGCCTATTTTACGCCGGGTTGTGCTATTTTGTCATATTTCAGGTCCCAGGCGTCAAAGGAAAGGCTAAGCACGAGATTCAGGGCATTCAGAAGTCATTTCGTCGAGCTGGAGCCAAAACACGGGCACACCTAAAACAGAACACGGCCGTGTTCTGTGGCCGTGCTTTTACTGCCGAGAGCTAATTGAGTTTGGCAAATTCAAGCTGCAAACACGGGCTGAAAGCACGGTCGTGTCCCCCAAAGCACGGCCGTGTCCTCCCAAAAGCACAGCCGTGTTTCTCCCAACACAATGGCCGTGTAATTAACTCTAACCAAAGCACGAGCGGGCTGAGGCAAAGCATGGCCGTGCCCTCGACCGTGCTTTGGCCACTGATGCCCTTTTAAGCAGATTTCAGCCAAAACAGAAGGGGATTCGAGTTTTGGAGAGACAGAGCGATTCCTAGAGAGAGAAAGTGACGAACAAGAGTCTCCAAGTGCCCTAGCTTGATCTTCATCACCATTGGAGGCCAGCTTGAGCTTGGAGAAGTGCTGATCAACGTCCAGAAGCAGGAATCCATCCTTCACAGTATGAATTCCGCGTCTGATTCTGCTTTTGCTTCTTTCTCCATGGAGTAGTTCTCCCATTCATCTGGGTATGGAGAACCCTAGATTTGTATGTTAGGCTTTGATTGTATGAACCCAAGTACTGATTCTATGATTTGATTATATTCGATTGGGTGGCTATAGCATGCACACCCCGCCCTGGTGCTCTTCTCGATCTCCTCGCAGTTCCCCAATCATATCAATGCTCTGCCATCTCTTCAAAAAGTTGATTCAGCTGCGGCGGTGTCTTCGTGAGCATATTTCCGCCGCAAACCGAGTCAATCAGCTTCTTGTCTTCTAGGAAGAGGGCATGGTAGAAAGTGCCCACCTTGAAGGCGTCGGTAAAATCATGGTTGGGACACTTGAGGAAGAGACTGGTGTATCTTTCCCAAGCATCCCTAATGGTCTCATCTTCATCATGGGCAAAGTGGGTGATCTGCTTCTGCAGGTCCGCCATCTTCGACGGAGGATGGTAGCGGGTGAGGAACTTGTCCGCCAGGTTGGCGAACGTGGTGATCGATCCAATGGGCCTAGTATCGAGCCACTCCTTGGCTTTCCCCTCCAGAGTAAATGGGAAGTACCTCAGCTGGATTGCATCGGCTGGGACCCCATTGATCTTGATCCCATCGATGAGCTCGTTGAATCGCCTCAGGTGTGATCGGGGACACTCCCCCTCCTTGCCACGGAATACCACCGTTCAAGCTCTTGGTCTAATGGTATTAAATCTCCCGACTGGCTACGGGTCATGCACTACCTGCACACAATCAGCAAAGGCAACCCCTGAAGGCACACAGGTGGAAGAGAGAAAATGCAGTAAAGAAAAAGCTAGAGTAACAAACTTTCACGTTTCCCCAATATCCTAGAAGTCCCCGGCAACGGCGCCAAAAACTTGACACGCTAAAACACAACACCAAACTGCGACCAAGTGTAATCGCAGTCCAGAAATGTAGTAACAGACAAGCTCTATTTGTCAACCCGGGGTCTAGATCTACTGCCGACTTCGTGAATATCTATTATCTAGCAAACTAAGTCGAGTGATTATGATTTTAACTAAAAGCAGTAAGAAAGCAGGAAATGGTTCGGTTTTCTAAAGCAAGGGAAGAGTCACTCAGGAATGAGTCCCCCTAGCTCCTTAGTTAGGTCACAGTTGTAATTACCCTGGGTTGATTAACTGTTGATTAAACTGTGGAAGATCCGACAGTAGCTTGGAATCTCTTAAGCTGACCAAGCCCTCTCAGTACAACTACCCGGCAGATGACTAGTCTTCACCGGGATAGAAAGCTGAGGCTATGAACGTAGAACTCCACTACTGGAATTGGATTCCATTACAAAGAAGCGAATCGATTAACTCTCGTATAATCAATCTACCACTACTGATTGATGAAGCTCTAGCAACCTAATCAGATTCTATCTTTCTCAGGTTGCAGCAGAAATCAAGAAAAGATGATCAGACTTCAATTGACTCAATAAATCATGCATCAATTTAAAATCAAATAGTATAACAATCCCAAGTCATTACAATCAATATCCCTAACACATGGAACTAGGGTTCTTCATACCCAAGTGAGAGAAAGTTCTACTCCATAGAGAAAGAGAGGAAAACAGAAATCAGAGTAGTCATACTCATAAAGATGAGGATAATCTGCTCTAGGATGATGATCTTCACTCCTGGGGATGCAATCTGGGCTTCAATGGTGAGAAATCCACTCCAAATAGCTCCTAGGGTTTGTTCTTCGTACTTTCTCCCTCTAAAACTCTGTTTTTGCTCCAAAAAGCTGACTCTCTCCTTTGGCTCGAATCTGCCTCAAAAACCCGATTCTGGGGGAAATACGGGCTGAACTACGATCATAAACATGGTCTGGCCGTATTTCACCCAAAACGCGCGTTTCACTTAACTCTGATGAGGAGAATTACGATTGTAATTACCCAATTACTGCCAGTATTTGTAGAATTACGACCGTAGTTCATTTTGCTCTTGCCCGTAATTTGATTTTCGAAGGCATTCTCAGGGATTTGGCTTGGCATTGCATTTACGGGCAGAGCAGAGGCAATTATGCCCGTAATTGGGTAGGGGATGCCTGTATTTCTTCCTCCACTCCTGTTTAATGCTTTGTTTCTCCCTCGTCCGGACTCCAAATCAGTCGTCGTTTAATCCCAGACGCTCGTAGTCTTGTCCTCTTTCTTTTCATGGCAAGATTCCATGATTATTTGTCCATAATATGAGGTAGAAATCCATTCTTCCTCAGGTCATTCTCGTGTTTCTTCTTCCGAATTGCCAAATGAATTCCGATTGACTTTAAACTTGCGCCTTTTCTACAATTTACATGCTAGGTCCTGAAATACGACAAAACAACACAACCTAGCGTAAAATAGGCCAAGCAACCACAAATTTGAGCTAAAATGGTCAGGAAACAAGGGTGCAAACATGTGCAAATACGATGCTATCAACATGTTTGTGAAGATGCCGACTACCTGAACCTGGACAAAAAGACCCTATGAAGCTTCATTGTTCCCTGGGATTAGCTTTGGGCCTTTCTTGCTCAATTTAGGTGGAAGGCACAAAGGGCCCCCTTCTGGGGGGGTCCGAGCTATCAGTGAGATACCGCTCTGGAAGAGCTAGATATCTAACATTTTGTCAGGACCTACTAGCCAAGGGACAATCTCAAGTAGACATTTTCTATGGCGTAGGTCTCTCAAAAGGTAACGGAGGCGTGCAAAAGTTTCCTCGAGCCGGACGGAGATTGGCCCTCGAGTGCAAAGGCGTAATGGAGCTTGATGGCAAGACCCACCTGTCGAGCAAGGACGAAATTGGGCCTTAGTGATCCAATGGTTAGTGGAAGGGCCATTGCTCAATGGATAAAAGTTACTCTAGGGATAACAAGCTGATATTCCCCAAGAGCTCACATCGACGGGAAGGTTTAGCACCTCGATGTCGGCTCTTCGCCACCTGGGGCTTTAGTATGTTCCAAGGGTTGCGTTGTTCGACCATTAAAGCGGAACATGAGTTGGGTTCAGAACATTGTGAGACAGTTCGGTCCATATCCGATGTGGGCGTTAGAGCATTGAGAGGACCTTTCCCTAGTACGAGAGGATCGGGAAAGACGCACCTCTGGTGTTCCAGTTATCGTGCCCACGGTAAATGCTGGGTGCCTAAGTGCAAAGCAGATAAATATTAAAAGCATCTAAGTAGTAAGTTGACTCAAATATGAGTGCTCCCCTATTCCGATTTCCCCAGAGCCCCCAGTAGCACAGCCTAGACAACGACGGGTTCTCTGTCCCGCTCGCGGCCCGCACCAAAACAAACTCTATACTAGATATGACCTCATAATAATAGGGGTTAAGGTCATTTAGTGATACGATGGGGGATAAGCTTCATTGTCAAGAGAGAAACAGCCCGGATCACCAGCTAAGGCCCCTAAATGATCGCTTAGTGATAAAGGAGGTATGGCTAGGAAACCCCTATTGATTGCAGCTTTCTCCATACCTCTAAGAAAAGCAGAAAAAAGGCTCTAATGGTATGATTCCTCCGTCTCCCCAAAATGAAAGGTGCGAGCTTGTAGTTCTTGGTATGTGAAGATACGTTGTTAGGTGCTCCATTTTATTTTCCCATCGAGATCGAACCTAAACATGTGCTCGAGAGATAGCAGTCCATAGAGTGATAAAGGATGTATGGATTCTCCAGAAGAGAGGAGCTGTGGTTGTCCATCCTGGACCGTCCGGATCCCACGAGGAAATAGAAAGTTGGATCTACATTGGAGAATTTCCCCATTTATCCTCCTTACTAGGAAACAAAAAATATTTATTCTAGTTCTATTAGCAACTATGGGTTTGAATCTAAGAGAAATTCTAGAGAATGTTTGTTAGGTCGGTTAAGTCAAATTGGAATTAATTGTCAACTCATCTATAATTGTTTAGGCAAAACCGAAATGAATTATCAATTTTGGTTGAACCCGACTAGTTTTGGTGGCCAACATATTAGCTATGGTTTTACCAAAAGCAATAAGTAGAGCTCAATCTTGTTTTGAGAAAGGGAGGATGACAAGTGACAATATACTAATGGCAATAGATTTGGTAAAGGACTATCATAAAATTGGAATTTCTTCTTCTAAAACTTGATTTGTTGGAACATTTGAGTCTGTAGACTAGGCTTTTGTGTGTAATTTTTTAAAGCTATGAGATTCCCTATGGAGTTTGTTCAATTAGTTGAAGCATGTGTTATCACTCCTTGTTGAGTGTATCTTTTATTGGAGGAATGTGTGGATACTTCCCATTAGGGATATGGCTACATCAGAGAGATCCACCTTCCCCTTATCTGATCTCTAAATTTTATACGATCTCTAAATTGAAGTGTAACATGTCCAAATACCATTGCGTGTTGGAATCCCATAGGAAGTTAAGTAGGAAATTTCATAGTATATTGGGTTCCCCATAAGATCTTTGCTAGTAAAATATCTTGGTATGACATTGACCTCAGGAAACCTCTCATCATAAGATTGTCAGTTCTTTGTAGCTAAAATCATTCCTTGAATATAAACTTGGCAAGCCAAGATGCTCAATTATTAGGGGCGTGTAATGGTCTAGTCTGGACGGGATCAAACTCATGACTCATGAGAACTGAGGTCCAATAGTGAATGACATCTTACAGCCAAGGACTGGACTAATATAGTAATCAGTGTGATTTGGTTCGGTCCAAATTTTTGATTCGGTCCATTTTCCTCATTATTCATAAAAATCATGGGACCAAGACCCTTACCACTTTATATATGGTTCCATATGGTCCAGTGTGGTTCGATATGGCTAACTCGTGGAACTCCCTACCAGTTATGTAGGAAATTTCCAGTAGATTACTTTTGTGATAAAAAAAAGTATATTCCAGTATTAGATGGCTATTTTCATTCTCCATAAAAGTTCTGAAGATGCTTGTAATAAAGTTTATGAGAAGAGCTCGTGAGATTCGACAAAGTTCCTGATGCTAAAACACATGTCGTGGGCATTACAGAAGTAACGGTTTCAACAGTGACATTTACAAAAGAACCCATGACTTGTGTAAGTGATGGTTGCATTGCGTTTATGGTCTATGTTAGAGTTCACTGTCGAATGTCACGACCGTGACATGACATAGTGACTTGCACATTCTTGATATAAATTAGATCTGAAGCCATTTTTAAGGGAAACGAATTTTAGATAGAAGTTATATTTGAAGAGAAAGTGACGAGGGAGGAACCTTAGAGAGTGATTAAAACCATCCAACCTCAATTGGAGGTAATATTAATCACCTGCGAGTGAAGATTGGAGCTCGAGTCAATAATCCATCCCCACAAGATTGTTTATCTTCTTTAGTTTGTGTTTGGATCTCTTTCTCCTACAATGGGGTAGACTCCCTTCTCACTTGGGTGTGTAGATTTCTAACCATGTATGTTAGGGTTTGATGTTGAATGAATCCTATGCTTGTTACACTCCTTATTATATATTGAATTGATGTATTTATCATGAAACTTATCGAGTATTTATCACACTGTCCAATTTGAGCTATTGACCTAAGAGAGAGAATATCTACTTAAGTTTATTAGAGCATCTTCAATTCTTCATTATAGGTCAATTGAAAGAGTGTGATTTGGTCTACAATGCCTTATTGGATCGAGATCATTTTCAGGGGGTCGAATTGCACACCTTAGGTGTTATATGCCGGTTGTGGAAACTCTTCCTCTGGGTAGCTCATCTAAGCACGCTAGGGTAACTCAAGTAGGGATTCCAAGCTACTTTAAAACTCTCCGCGGTATATATATTTAGTGGGCAAGCTAGGTTAAGTCAACATAGACTTAGGGCTAGAGAGAAGCACACCCAAGTGATCTTCTCTTAATTCAATTCGAATAATTCTTTCTTTGCTTTGCTTTTTTAGTTGCTTAACTAAAACCACATACTTTTATGCACATAACGATTGGTTCACCGAGTAGTAGTAGACTTAGTGCCTGGGTTGCTAAATTATAATTTCTTATCCTATATTGAACTCGATTGATGGGTATACTTGGCCCTTAGTTGGGAAGCATAGTTAGGTTCGAGTCAATGATTGCTTGCGTGATCGAGCTTTAAATTTATAAGTCGATGCATACTCTCTATTCAATCCTAACTAAGCCAAGCATAACCTAGCTAGGGTTGTACTAAAGTGGCTGAGTCATACTCCAAGGGAACCCTAAGCTTACTATTACTTCGCTCCAAACTACTATCTAATCGAATCAAAAGTTTGGTGAAGAATCTAACCTAACCTACTCCTAAACAACCAACATAGTGGTTGGGAGATCGCTAGAGATGAGACGGTTCCATGGGTCAAATCTTCCTAGCTATGGTTGTCAAGTAAGGAATGTGGTGAGTGAGCTCTTTTTAGTGGGCGTTCATGATTATCCACACGCCTCCGAGTACGCCTCCCCTAAGCCCATGCCACTCTCCTCGATCTAGGCTATCATATATGGGAATATAAGAACATAGCTCCTTTCAATGGGTACTACCCACCGTCCACACTGAGTGTAACGTCCCGATATTTTTAACCAAACTGAAATAACCATGGCTCCGAAATAGTGTTCAAAAATCTCAACAAAACATATAATTCCAAGTATTTTCCAAATTAGAATACAACTTAATCATTTCCAAGAAAAACATCAAATGCAATGCCCTAAACACATGGGCGACCTCAAATCACAGTCAATAAAATTCGACCCTTTTGAACCTCCAGTTATACTCGTAATCATAAACATATATACTAAACAAACTCTAACTCCTTCCTGAGCTCCCTGAGACCTTGTCCATGCTGGTACGGCTGCTTGCCGTGTCCTGCCTCTTCTCAAAAATCACGGCCGCTAACCCTTCCTCAACCTGGTGAGTGAGAAGGGGTCAGTCTCGTCGTTACTTCCTAAGGTCTTGCCCTAAGCAAACCCTTACTAACACATTATTAGCGGGTTCCTTTCCTTAGATGAAAGCCGTTCTCGCTTTCATCCTTAATACTTTAATTTATTACTCAATAACTTATAGAATATCATTACTCCTAACCTTATCTTATGGAAGTTATTTACTTCTATTCTTGACACTTTATTCCGACATAACACATAGAAGTTATCGACTTCTACTCTTAACTCTAACATATAAATACTAGGGACCACCGCGTTACGTCTCACCGTCCTGTGTCCTACCCTAGTATGCCAACCGCGTTACGTCTCGCTTGCATACCCAAACTCGGAAATGGCACTGCGTTACGTCTCGCCGTTCAGTCCATGCCCGGTCAACTACTGCGTTACATCTCGCCGTCCAGTAGTGACCCCAACATACATGATCAACTGTTGCGTTACATCTCGCTGTCCAACAGTGATCCGACCATCTACCGCGTCAAGTAGTAGCCCAACCACCCGAGGGTTCATCATACCAATAACCATACACATTCATACCCATACATAGCACAACGTGTGCCTCCACCTTAAGTAGGCGGTGGGATGCCTCACACACATTATCGCGCTTAACTCGAAAATTAACTAACATAATTGAAATAAAAGACATAAACTAAAAGACCTCGACGGAGATTTTACCCCCTTTACACTCACCTTATTGTTAAAGTCGATGGACTTGAATGAATCAACATTAAAAATCGACCGCCACTTCATTGAACCGTGGTACCCAAAGTCATGGAGTCGTGTCACAACTCACAACTGCGTCTCATTGTCTCAATCGGCATCGTCCAAATTCATTGCATCCCGAGCCCAAGCTATATGTACACGAACTCATGCATATTAATCACTAAAAATCGCAATCCACCAGTTAACCCAGTACCCAAATATGTTCAATCCTACTGATCCCACTACCCTTGATTCTTAATTATAGATATGTCCAGATCTCTCAACTACCATGGATACATATAATGGTTCCCAAATCATATATAAGCTCCCCCAGGCCCACGTGTAGCAACAAATGAAAACCAAATTTAATCATGGACACCCAAATGGAAAAAATATCAGAATACTCAAGTTATTAAAAAAAATTCTCTAAATACAGTACTTATAAATTTATTTCCCAAAGTACAGCAGTTTAAACATCATTGTCTTCGTCTTCGACAGTGATTATAATCACCGCTTTAGTCTAAAACGGGGAAGGTATTACCGCTTTCGAAAACAACAGGGAACACATCACCACTTTCGACAATAATGGGGAAGGTATCACCGCTGCCGTCCAAAACGGTGATTGCCTCACCGCTGTTGTGCAAAACGGTGATTACATCATCGCCGTCGACCAAAACGGTGATATTTGACAACGTTTTAGAGCCCTGATAGGTGTAAAATTAGGTCATAACGACCTAGCTATCACCGTTTTGTTATAATTATGTATTGTTTACATGTTGATGTGTTGATGTATTAGTAATTATATGTCTGTATTTAGTGAATTGTGGTTATTGGCAAATATGTTATGAGATATTTAGATTAATTATGATATAATAGATGTTAGTTAGTTAGTTATGAATTTAGATGAATTTGTTTAGTTTTCTCATGATAGATCAATTAGTTGCGTTTGTTTATGGATTTGGATGATATTGTTTTTGTATCCATAATGTACTAATTATATATTATACTTAATTATTATAAATTGCATACATGGGTAAATTTAAGAAGTTTCGGCTTATTATTCGGTGGAATGGTCGGGTAACAAACTCGAACATTGGGATCGACTATGAAAATGGTGAATCCACTATGCTAAAAATTGAGTCGAGATTCTCGTGGCAAGAACTCCATGACATTTGTGCAGAAAGGACTTGTACGGGCGGGCAAAGGAGAGTTGGTCAAATTACTTACCGGTATCCAAACATGAGTGCTGATGGAATCATGTACGAAAAAGTTGTCATAAATGATGATGACGCGGTGAACATGATGATACAGTTCCTATCTGAAAACGGGGTGCGGATTGTAGAGGTGTATGTCGAGACCGAGCCGGTCGGTGAAACTCATTCTCACCAGTATTCTTGTGATGATGGTTTTGCAGGAGGGTATGGCTGGGGTGGTAGTTCAAGTAACTACGGAGGAGGTACTTCTGCAGGTTGGTATGGCTGGGGTGGTACTTCAAGCAACTACGGAGGAGGTAGTTCTGAAGGAGGTGTTGGGTGGGAAGAATACCCGCAACATGCTTAGACTGCCGTCGATATCGTTCAGCTCGACGGTGATCAATGGCCTGCTTAGGGTCCAGAGTTGGCTGACATTGAGAACACCCTTCGATCTGGGCGTACTTCGCATGACCAAGAAGACGATGTTGGTTATGCTGGTAACGATGACCATCCTGAGTCGAGCTATCCATTCGCCTCCAGTGACTATGAAAGTGAGGAAGATTTGAGATCAGTCAGTGAGGAGGAAGATACGGACGATATCGATGACAGAGAGGTGGCGTTCCGTCAGGCACCAACGCCTTACTACACAGAGGTTCCTGATCAATTTTTATATGGTCAGAACGATGCCCCTGACTTTCGGCCCATGCTTGTGTATAATCCGACTGCTAATTTGGAAATGAGTATGGCGTTCACTTCGAAAGCCGATGTGCAAGATGATTTTAGCGAAGAAGCCATGCGGCGTAACTTCGAATGGAAGGTAAAATATTCTGAAACCAAACAACTGCATGTCATTTGTAAGAATGCTGGAGAGGGTTGTATGTGGCAACTTCGGGCTGCATATATGAAGAGAAAGGGCGTCTGGGTCATGCGGACATTAGAGAACAACCACAGATGCTCCTCAACCATACTTTCACAGGATCACTGGCAACTTAAAGCAAAAAAAGTGGCAAGAACCATTAAGCACATAATCGAGGCACAACCAGATATCAAGATAAAAGTTATCATGGCCGAGGTGAAGGATCGACATTCCTACACCATAAGGTATAAGAAGGCGTGGCATGGGAAGCAGAAGGCCATGGCTAAAGTCTACGGTGATTGGGGTGACTCGTATGCTTTACTCCCTAGACTAATGTCCGCAATGGAGGAGTCCAACCCTGGGACGGTTTTCGTGCCGTGGTACAACAACTTACAAACTGAAGATCAAGTTCGAGTACAGAACGAGTTGATGTTTCATCGTCTGTTCTGGACATTCAAGCCATGCATTGACGGGTTTCCCTTCTGCATGCCAGTGATTCAGGTATATTACGGACTCAAGCTATTGTACTAGTTCATTACTTTACTAAGTTCAATTTTTACTAATTAATTATTCATTTTAACAGGTTGATGGAACTTTCCTTACTGGGAAGTATAAAGGAACCCTTCTCATTGCCACTGGGGTTGATGGAAATTTAAGTAGTTTCCCCTTAGCATTTGCATTAGTTGAAGGGGAGAACAACTTAAGTTGGGCATGGTTTTTTGATCAGCTACACGCCCACGTAACACAAAGAATGGGTATTACAATTATATCGGATCGACATGCCGGGATTAAACACGTCGTCGGTGGTTTTCGCGACGAATGGGGATGGACATGGAGCTGGTGTATTTGTCACTTCCTTGCCAATTTCCAACACAAATTTGGCAAGAAGGACATAAGAGATCAATTGTGGAGTGCAGGTAGTAATGTAATTCAGTGTTTGTTCATGGTTTATTGTTCAAATTAAATTTCTTATGCCTTAATTATTTATTCTTCGGTCTTGAAGCGGTTGCACATCAACCAAAAAAGTACGAGCAGAAGATGAAGACGATCCGTCAGATACACCGGGCGGGGCAATATGGGCAGAAGGTCAAGATCTGCACATGTGGACATTCCACATGGACAACGGGGCTAGATTCGGCATTGCAACTACCAACCATGGCGAGAGCATAAATGGAGTCTACAAGGGAATTAGGCAATGCCTGTATTTGTCCTAGTGGAGATGACGTACTGGAAGGTAAACGAGTGGTTTGTGAAGAGACGGGAGCTCGCCATAGGGAGGGAGCGTGCTGGTCATTCAATAGCACATCATGTATTTCATGACATGCAGAAGATCGAAGAGAAATCAAGTAAGCACAGAGTTGTTCTGTTCAACCGCACTGAAGGTATTTTTGCTGTGCAAACAGGTATTTGGGGTGGAGGAAGACGTGGGCATAATCGTCAATCCGTTACTCTACACGTAGAAACTCACACCGGAGAGTGTACATGCCAATAGTGACGACCTTTGGTGCGCTTTAAGTGCAACGGTGGGATAATCAACTTCCCATTGTCTACAGGCCAATAAGCTTCATCCGACAGGGGGCTGAAATTTGACGAGTAGAAGTTCCTGATCGCCTGTTCCGTGTAGTAAGGACTAACCAAACTGTATGCGATGGGGTTATCGACTTAGCTACTGCCATTGCATGTGAAATGGATCAATCACAACGTGCCCGACGAGGTCCAAAGCGTTGCTCAAAGTGCAGACAATCGGGTCATAACAAGAGGCGTTGCCCAGGTTCACCTCTAGAGCAAGATTCGGGGGCAAATACGAACCAACCTTAAGTCTGTTGTAATTATATGTCATTTTCGTTGTTGCGATGTTTAAGTTGAACTTCTTATTTTAATCTTGTTGAGTGATTGTAATGATGATGGATGTTGTTTATCTTGGTACAACATGGGTGGTAAAATAGAAAATAAGACCAAACTAAATTAAGACGACATAGATAGTTCATGGGAAACAACACAAGACCAAACTAAATTAAGACGACATAGATAGTTCATGGAAAACAACACAAGACCAAACTAAATTAAGACGACATAGATAGTTCATGGAAAACAACACAAGACATAACTAAACATGCATATTTCACTGGTTGTCTTCATTTCCTTCCACTTCCCCTTCTCTACCTCTTCCTCTTCCTCCACGACGTCCTCGACCCCTTCTTCCGCCTTCCATACCTCCTCCTTCTTCGCGAGCCCGCTGGACAACTGCTCGCGGATTCCTCTTAACCCGACCCCCACCGGAGTGTACACAGGTGGTGGTGGTGGAATTTTCCTAGATGAACCAGAAGCGTGGTAAAAAGTCGATGTTGTATGTTGTTGTTGCGGTGTCTGATAGTTCATTGGAGTTTGACGCTGATGGTAGAACATGTCATGTTCCTGAGTCGGGATATAGCTTGACGACCCTCCGGTGCCCGCAGTACTAGTTGCCCACTCACAATGTGGCCATGGTTCAGGAAGTTGAGTTTGTTGAGTCGGATGAAGCTCTTCAATGTTGGCTCTCACCCTTCTTCTGCTCCTCCGCGAGGGCTCTTGTGGGGGCACGATCCTCTCATCATCACGGAATGAAGGTCGGGTCGGAGCAGGCATTGGAGGGTATAATACGACATCCCTCCTTTGCTCTCGGGTACAAGAGAGCAGGTTGTTGAAAAGCCTCACCAAAAAAGATGTCTTCCGCTCATCCATGGTGCGTGCACTCTCGACAGTGTGATTGGCATGTTCCAAACCGTCAACCTAATAAATTTTTGTACAAAATTAACTAAATTAAATCTAATAATGTTAATTAACATTCTAGCTAATATAGGCATGTAATCATACTACAAAAAATTAAGACAAAGAGGGCAAAATGGATTTCACTTACCACTGCGCCCCAAACAGCACCTTGCTTTGACACCCATCTTAGCGTGAATTTCCGATACCACCGCATGTACCCATCGTGGTACCCCATTGGCCTCGTCTCCGCCACCCCTTGGACCACCCACTGATCTCTATTCTCCCATATGTTGATGTAGAATTCATGCTTGCGGACCCAATCCTTTTTGCTATAGCGTAGGTCGATGGCGTGGAGCTCCCTGAACTCTTGAGGTGGGGATGCTAGAATTGGTTGCTCCAATCGATATGGCCTCAAAGATCGATCGGGCAGGTGCCATTCCACCATGTGCCAGCATATTAAGGGCACCTTCCACAACCATGTCTCTTCATCCTCGGGATGTCTAAGACGATGCAACTCAACCACTTCCGGTGGATATGGATCCCATACCGCCTACAATCATTATAGTTCATGGAATTAGTACAAATTATATCCACTCCACCTAAAAAATTGAAAATGATGAAATTTTATATTTTTACCTGGTTCCACCAAGGCTTATCAAGTTCAGCACGATAAAACAGTAATGAGTGTTCGGGCTGGTGATCGTTTGTATTTGCTCCGATCCACCTAATTAAGCAAAAGTACGTATATAAGCAATTTTTAAAGCATCGATGTTTACTTGTTAAGTATGATTTTATGGAAGCATCTAAATTGAACTAAAATTCCTTACATGGCAATAATCTAAATTCGCTCAATACATTTGGTTAGAATAAATCTATATTCGCTTACTTGGAATATCTAAATTCACTAAAATATTATAATTGCAGACTTAAAATGAATCTAAATTCGCTTACTTGGAATCGATCTAAATTCACTAAAATACTATAATTCATACTTAAAATGAATCTAAATTTGCTTACTTGGAATAGATCTAAATTCCCTAAAATACTACCATTGCATATCTAAAATAAATTAAACATAAATTTAACTTACTTGAAACCATATGGGGGATTTGATACAAATCGTAGCTCATCATCTGGCAACCAGAATTCCCGTGGGTCTCGAGGTGCGAAAAATGGAAGATGCTCCCATGCCCAGAGCTGGACTATGAACATCGCACCACTAGCTTGTTTCGCTCCCAACCTCGAGCAAGTACACAACTCTCGGTAGATCCCAGCCAAGACGGCCGACCCCCAACTTTTTTTCCGATCTCGTCCCAGTCACCGAGGAGCATATGTAACCACATGCCTTGTATCCACCGGTTTGCCTTGTCGGGGAACAGAAACCCACCAACCAAGCCAATTAGGTAGACACGTGCATACCTCTCCACCTGATCTTCAGGAGTGTTCGGGCCTATATTAACCTCCTCCTGGATGTGTTCAACAAGCCACGGGATCGATACTTGCCCCGCATTCAGTGGTGGATGCCCAACCCCTTCGACTGGCGTGGTGGTCGGCATGTTGAACCCCAAACTCTCTTGAATCAACGGCCCCCAACCATCTTCCGGTTTTCTCGAGTTGTCGATGATGGTATCTCTAGTGATCGGGAGCCCGGTTAGGATGGCAACATCTTTGAGGGTGATCGTCATTTCACCCTCGGGAAAGTGGAAGGTATGCAGCTCGGGGCGCCATCGCTCTGCCATTGCCATCAGCAGATCGTTGTCAATATCAAGCCTCATGAAGTGCTTCAGCATGTGCAATCCCGTCCTCTCTAGATAGGGCGCCAGTCGAGCATGCCAACGGGGCAATCGACATGTCCCTCGATGACTGATGGGAATAAGTGATTCCTACAAAACAAAAAACACAATGTTGTCAGTCAATAGAAAGCAAAATAAAAACTTTAAAACTAATGGAATAATTTTAGTGTCTACCGGATTATTGTTCCAAATTGCACGGGAGCGATGTTGATCTTGCCCGGTTAAATACCTTCCATCCCTTGGGCCAGGATCGATATACAATCGAGGGTTGTATATCTCAGCACCCATATATAAAAAAAAATATGAAATCAAATCAATTTATATTTTAGCACCCATTTAAAAAAATCACAAAAGAATAAAATAAATTTACGTACTCTCAGAGACTCTTCGTCCATTTTTTGCCGAAAAGCTAGAGAGAGTATCGACAAAACAAAAACTCTAGTAATTCTTTCTGATGCGGAAGATCGGACTTAGCCGCAACCACATAGCACACTTAGAACGAAACTAGAGTGAAGTAATGGAGGGAGAAAGAACTATAAAATAGTGGTGTGGTTTGGAATGAGAGGGGGGGAGTGGTATTTATAGGGGGAAAGGGCCGCTGGAAATTTCCAGGAACCAATCACCGCGTTCCTTGAAAGCAGTGAACTCACTGCGTTGGAGGAAAGCGGTGATGGCTCGGATCGCTGACGTGGCGACCTGTAAGGCGTCGGATCGTGGAGAAAAACCACAATCCATGCCACACCGCGTCGGACGGCAGCGGTGAAGGGCGCGGGCGACAAGGATCGGTGACGTGACGGGCGGGGCTATCACGGCTTTTCTCTTTGGCGGTGAAGTGCCCGCGCGCGTCCACGTCAGCGATCCGCGTCCACTTCACCGTTTTCTCCATCAACGGTCATTATGGCTTCACCGTTTCTCTTATCAACGGTCACACAATCACCGCCTTTTACTAACGAGGGGATTGCTTCACCCTTTTTGTCCAAAACGGTGATAGCATCACTGTTTTAGTCAAAAGCGGTGATGCAATCACCGTTTTGGACAAAAAACGGTGATTGTAATCACTGTTTTACTCTTTGACAATGATGTTGAAACTGCTGTAATTTGGGAAATAAGTTTATAAGTACTATATTTAGGGAACTTTTTTTAATAATTAGAGTATTCTGGGATTTTTCCCCACCAAATCTTGAAGCAGTGGAACTCTTACCACCTAGAGAGACTTTGTCCCTAATTATGGCGGGGGATTCCAATCACCGGCCTTGTATTTGTCACCATCCATAGTTGTATGAACTCTGCTGCCAGCGCAGCCTGTCCCTGATCCAATCCCTAGCCTTTGTATCATCCTTCCTCTCCAATGCGCATCTATTTCAGGATTGCCATCGCCTCTAAGCTGCACCACTCTCTCTCCCTCTCTCTTTCATGCCCAATCGCTGGCGGCGAATAAGACACACACCTCTTATATATGTATACACGTTATTGTGTTTATCAAACCCTTTTGCTCTTACCCTATCTAGCTTTGCCCACATCTCCAATGTAACGCTTGTCATCATCGAACTTTGCTTCGCTTTCCGTCAACCCAAAGACGTCACGAGACCCAAAATTCTGCTGCCACCATAAAGGCCTAAGTTGGCCCAAGTAATTAGGTTGGTCCAACTTACTTGAGCTTACTTTTCGTACCTAATCGTTGATCCCGTAATACGATCGTTTAGTATGAATCTCGTTAATGTAATAATAATAAATATTATTGCTCTTTCTCCACGGTTGCAACCCTTCATACGTAACCGTTAATCCAACCGTTCACATATTATGGTCGAACCAAAACCCAAAATTCAGGGTGTTACACTGAGGTTTCAACCCGAGTTCCATCTAGGAAGGCATTCTTATGGCAGGGTTACGATCGCCTCGTCCACCACAAGATCTTATTCATTCATCTAACCCTAATCTACAATATGGCACATACCCGTATAAGCCTAAAGCTCCATACCTAGTGTAGAAGCTCAAGTAGGCTAGTAGAGAAGATTAGGGCGACTTACAAAGCACAATAAAATCTAGATAAGCATTAAAATCAACTAGATAAACACATTCATTCAAAACCCACACATACACAACCTAAAAACTAGGGTTCATCTTACCTAAACAACCATTAGAGATTCAAGTCATAGAGAGAGAAAGAAAACACAAATTAGAAGAGAGGGAGTGATGGAATCAATCTTCTTCTCCTTGTTTGCACCTTCTTCTTGCTCCTTGAATGGATTGGATTTTTAATGAAACTCTTACAAGGTGTTTCCCTCTCTATAAACAACCCTAAACCCTAACTTTCTCACTCTATGGCTGCTCTCCTTTGAAAAGTGCAGTAAGAGGGGTATTTATATGCTACTGACAGTGGTCACGGCATCGAGAGCGTGACCCGATGGTCACGGCCGTGACCTGGCCTTGACCAACTGGAACTTCTATGAATCTCTTGAAATGACGCGTTTTGACTCCATCTTTAAGCTCCAAGATCGTGGCCTCCTTCATAAGATTGTGTCGGTGATCTTTGTGTATCGGCCACGATCTTTTTCGCGGTCAAATTGCACCATGTCCGTGATTCGACTGGGGAAACTTTCTGCCTTCTTCTTGGTCACCTGCTGAAGTTTGCAATTACTGTTCACCACTGCGATCCTCAGACCACGAACGTAGTCATGGCCTGGTGGTCATGACCCTGACTAGTGCCTCTCCTCCCCTTCTTCCTCCTATGCTTCCCAATCGTGCTCGAATGAACTCCAATCGATTCCCGATCAATACCAAATGCATATAAGACCTGGAATTTCATCACAAACACTTGGGAAAGCATAAAATACGACAAATTGGGTTCGGTTCCCCCATGAAAACGTTCATATCAAGAATGCCTATGCCAAAACAGATATTTTGCAAATAGGAGCGAAAATAGCCATAAATAACTTTATATGTGGCCAAGACACGTGATTTAACATGGAAATGCCTTGGGAATAGGGGCTAAATAACGCCTAATTTAGGTGTTATCAGTCAACTATTTGGCATTGTTGTCGAGAACATGGCTAAGTTATTAAGAAAAGAGAAATGTTGTTACTTTAGCTTTTAATTTTGTCTCATTTTACCTTTGCTTTCCACGGTTGTGTTGTTGAGGTTGCTACACATAGTTTACGACCTGGAGTAATTCAGAGAACTTGCAATCGCTAGACCACAACATCAATCAAACCCTTCAACTCCTTGCAAGGGAAAGTGCTCGAGAGAGGTTAGCAACACACAAACCTCCAGAAGGAGTCAAAGTTAAAGAAATGGTCGAAGAACAACAACAAGTGAGTGAGGCGGAATAGACAATGGGGTACTACTTAACCCCAGGGGTTGAGGATATTCGACCAAGCATCTGACATCCCCCATTGCAGCTAACAATTTTTAGATCAAGACAAGTGGGATCTTGAAGATTCAAAACAACATCCAGATCTTTGCTCTTAACCATGAAGCACCAAGAGATCATATCAACCACTTCTTTGAGCTCACAGATGGGATCAAGGTGAATGGAGTACCACAAGATGAATTCCAATTGATTTTCCCCCTTTCCCTTACGTGGATGAGAACATATGTGGCTCAACAACCAAGCACCTCTCTCCATCACTTCTCGCACAGATTTAATGGAGAAGTTCATGGCACATTATTTCCCATCATCCAAGACGATCGAGCTTTGTAAAGAATCACTCACTCCACCCAAGAAGATGATGAGAGTCTTAAAAATCCATGGGAGAGATACATAGGGTTATTCCCACAATGTCTTCACCATGGATTCAACGACCACTTCAAGGTCGGTACCTTCTACAATGGATTCGTTCTAGAAGACCATATGTTTATCGACTCCTTTTGCCAAGGACATATGTTTAACAAGACTCCTTCTCAAATGCAACAATTGTTTAATGAGATGGTGGCTCTTGGATATGATCAGGGAGTCGCTAGAAGAGGAAGGAATTTAAGTGAAAAAGGGCACACACTCAGCTGAGTCTCGTGCCTCACTGGAGGTGAAGATAGATGATTTGATCAAGATGGTGAAGAACAACGAAGCACCTTCAAGTAGCAAATCCAAGGCTCATGTGAATCTTTGTGAATGGTTTCAAATCCTAAGCCATGCCCTAGATGATTTTCAAGCTATGATGGAGGAAACCACACCCCAAGACCAAGTTGATTTCATTGTTAATGTTCGGTTAGGTAACAAACGCTACAACAATACTTATAGTCCAGGGTGGCACCAACATCTTAACTTTTCATGGGCATCGTTCATATCAAATACCTCCCGGTTTTGAAGCACTAATGGGAGAATACCAACAACGGCCACCCTTCATAGATCACAACTTCCGGCCATAAGCGTATCAACCACAAGGCAGGCAAGATTTCATTCAACAACAACTGGAAAATCTCTCCAGGCTTGAATAACTTGTCAATTCCTTTGTGATTACAAGTACCAAGAAGTTCGAGAAAATTAAGAAGTTTATGAAGGTGGCTTAGAACAAGTTTTCCACCATCAAATCCATGAATATTTCCAGGGTATTGCCCATTATCTTGCACATATTGCCATCTACCATCTATGGAAGGTGGACAGAGCGTTGCAAGGTCCAAAAGGAATTCTAAGGTAGACGAATGTACCAAGGGGGCAAGTGAAAGTGGTCTTTGCTTGGTATTTAGGAGAAACCAGGATCTAGAAGTAGCCAGACATCTCATACAAGAAGCAGCAGAAGTCATGTCCGACTAGTCTCTCAAACATCTGATCAATGAATCAAAGTGGAAAGTGATCTTTTCTGGTGGAACCATTCAACATGCAGTAGTCGATGAAGACTCTTTATCTTGGTATTGTCATTATTGGTACAAGCTCGACCAAAAGTTGTGGCTCCTTCAATGCTTGTTTACCTAGCACAAGACACAACTCAAGGAAATTGTTAGTACTTTCACTCGTGATGGTGAGTGTTGATTCGAAATCAACAACAATATCACAATAATCCAAATCATCATGCACACAAGAATGCTACACGCTATAAAAAGGTTAAAAAAAATAGGTGATTTGTTCATATGCATCCTTCAAGATCAATTGGAGCCTTATTGGTGGCAAAAAAGGATCTAACTAAAATAGAGGTACTTCTACATCCTCATTTATGTCCAAAATCACAAAATCAACAGAATAGATGAGTGTACCAACTTTAACAAGAAAATTATATACAATTCTCCTAGGATTCACAATAGAACAATAAACTAATTGAATCTTCATTCTAGTGGCCGATAGAGGGTTCACCTGCCTAGTCTTTTAAAAACTTGTAAGGCATGACTTTAAAAGTATCCCCTAGGTCCTCCAAAGACTTTTCCATATGCATGGGTCCAATAGTGCATGGGATAGGCAAACTTCCTAAGTCCTTTCACTTTTTTGGTAGCTTGTTCTACAAGATGGCAGAACACTTTTTATTGAGCATCATTGTGGATAGATCCCCGAGCCTTTTATATTTGGTGAGGATTTCCTTCAAGAGCTTGGAATATCTAGGCATCTTGGCAAGTGCCTCAACTAATTTGCACCTGCTTCAACGTCGCCATCAACTTGGCTAGTTTCGGGTAGGGAATGGGAGTTGAGGAACAGACTCCTTCAACATGGGCTTTGGATGAGGAGTAGGTACCTCAAAATTCTTCTCTTCTTCATCAACTACCACAGGTTTCTCAAGAGTGTTCGATACTTCCTTTTGATTATTTGGTGTAGGAGTTGTTGGCTACCCATGGGGATTTATTGTGACAATACAATTGCAGTTCAAATCACCATAACTCGTGTCTTGTAGTTGGTAAAGATCTCCTTAAATCCTAGTTGGTCCCGGTCCTCATAAAATGAGGTTACCTCCTCTACGAGGTCAACTCCAACCTCCTTCAAGTGGTTCACATCAAAGCTTGTGGATGGTATGCACAAGATGGATCTGGTGGTTATTCCAAATCGCTCTCGATAACTATCAATGAATGTGTAAATGGTGTGGATGTAGCCACCATGAGAAGCTACCACTAGACGTAGCTAATGTTAGCCTTTCAGGGGGTGTTTCGGGTAAATTGGAAGGTTTTTCTTCAAGGTGTATGGTTATTAGATGTTCTCTAATCTTGATTTCTAAGGCTGAGATGACAGGCTACATTTTCTATCTGATTGCATAATCACTATATATAGTTCCTTGGTTTCTTACTATTTCATAAACCTTAAATCTCCGTTTATGACATGATTCAATAGTTGTGTTGATATGTAATGTCTATGTAACATAGATAATTATCATTTGAGAAACTATTGTTAGGCATGATGACGATACAATTTGAATTTAACATACATGTTTTAGCGACTTGATAAAGATCGTCGTTAAAATTACTAATGATAGTCCTAAAAAAACAACAAAGTTATACTTTTAACTTTTTGGCATCTTTACCTTCCCTTTAGCAAACAAACATCACTTTGACTAAAAAAACGAAAAACACTCAATCTCCCAAACTCTCGAATTCATTGTTGACATTCTGTAGTCATAATCATCAAGAATACGTCTGAATCATGAGTAGCGACTCCGACGAGGTAGAAATCCGAACGAAAATCCAAAAAAAACCCAAAACCCCTCAGCGGAATCCAATTTTTGGTTAGACCATGGTTCAACCGAATCAAATTTTTGGTTGTGCCATTGATCAACCGAAAATCAGTTTCGATTGTACCATGGATCAAGCGAAAATCATCTTCGGTTAAACCATGGGACAACCGAAGATGATTTTCGGTTGGTCCATGGTACAACCAAAAATTGGATTCGGTCAGTCCATGGTACAACCGAAAAATGCCTTCGGTTGAGGGATTTTTGTTGTTTTCTTGGGGTTTTTTGTTTCTATTCTTCTGCTACGATTTATGGTACAGACTTGCTTGCATATGCAGCAGCTACTGAGATTTCCAAGGGTTTGGGATTTTATTTAGTGAAGGCATCAAACGAAAAATCCAAGTGAAGATAGTAAGCGACGTTACTTGAAGTGCACTCATGGTTAGGAAGAAAAAATTGAAGGCTCCTGATTCTAATCCCGCTAAGGAAAGGAGGCCTCTTACATTTTCTGGAAAGTTGGGGTGCCGATTTCATATCAAGATTGAGCGGTCAGATGATGGATATTGATTGATCCTAGGGGTGGCTGATACAAAAAAAAATCATGGTGCTAATTTGGGTTTCCACAATCATCGGCTTGAGCTATTTCCAGATGGATCAAGTAAGAGGAATCCTTTGACTGCAGATGATAAGGAGGGGCAAGATAGAATAACAACACCCCTTTTGTTATTACTGTAACAACCAGGGTATAAGGGTAAAATTACAAGAAAATTAAAAAAAATAAAACATAGAATCCCTGCGCAATCGTAGTCGCTGAATTCGAGGCGAACCACGACTCCGCGGAATTCTTCGAGCGATTCGACGGTGCGATTGTTCTGTACGGCGCGTTGTTCGATTTCCTTCACCTTCGTCCCTCTCAACAACACATCTCGCCGGGCGGCGACGGAACTGAGCTTCGCCCGGAACAGCACCGAGAAATAGTCAGGGAAAGGAAGCCGCAAATCGACCTCGCTCATGTACAAAACCCCTCTGTCGCTCCTCACAAACACGTAATCATGGCTCAGCGCCAGGGGGAATCCGGCGGCGGCGTGGCCCTGGATGATGGCGACGGTGGGCATCGGAAGGGAGATCAGCTCGGCGACAATCGGCCGGAACGATTCCACCATTTGGTGGAGCCGCAAGAAGGCCTCGGATGGGGTTGCGACGGATCTCGCCCAGCCGAGATCGAATCCGTTGGAGAAGAATTTGCCCTGGGAGGTGGTGATGAGGACAGAGCCTCTAGTGGCCTGCGATTTCGCTTCGTGGAGAGAAGATGGGACGGCGGCGATGAGAGTTGGGCTGAGACGGTGGTCATCGTTTTCACCAGTGAGTGTCAGGATGAAGAAATCGCTGCTCTTCTCTAGACATCGTGGTCTTCGGTTTGGGGGAAAATGAAGAAAGGAGGATGGTGGAGATTGGAAGAGTGGTGTGTTCTTTGTGGATTAGGGATTTAATAAGAGCAACGAAATGCGAAAGTGTTCCTTTTTAAGGACGGATCGGAGAAAATAACAGATCCCATTTTCAGTGCAATCGGATCGGCTCCTTTTTAGATACTGCCGGCCTGCCTGCACCAAAACTTCACTTTAAGATAACTAAAATGCAACATAATCATAACATTCTGTGGGCTCAAGCTCGGGTTAATTGCATTATTAGAGGTGCATTATTAGAGGTGATTTGGAGGTTTATTAGTGGTATACATACCATAAATACGATAAAATAACTCACAAAAATCAAACCAAAAACCTCCTAATGCATACCACAAATCTCATAAAACAAACAACAAACCTCACAAAGCAAACCACAAAAGTTTCGAAATCACACTAGAAACTTCTTAATGCAAACTAGAAACCTTCTAATTCAGACCACAAATCCCCTAAAAAAAACCAGAAACCCCACAATGCAAACCACAACATTTGCAAAAGCACACCATAAACCTCATAATGCAAACCACAAACACAGTAAATCAAACCACAAAAAAGCAAACCATAAACGTCCTAATGCAAACCACAAATATATTAAAACAAACCAGAAACCTCACAATGCAAACCACAAAGTTTTTGAAAGCAAACCAGAAACTTCTCAATGCAAACCATAAAAGGCATAAAAAAATATGAGAAACCAAACCATAAATCTCACAATGCTAACCATAACATCCGGTGATCGTTGACCATTGACCGGTCAACGAAGACCGTTGACCAAACTCTGGTGACCGTTAGTGAGCAGATTCCGACGCCGATAGGCATATTCTGGCCCCGATGACTAGATTCCGACGCAGGTAAGCATATTCCGGCCACAAAATAGCATATTCCGGCGACAAGAAACATATTCCGGTGACCGGCGACTATTTTCCGGCGACCGGTGGCAGAATTTCGACGACCAAATTTTTGGGAAGAAAATAAAAAAATATTTTTTTTTATTTAAATAGATTTTTCATAATGACAATTATACCCCTGCTTGATTTTACACTAGGTCAACTCACCTAATAAAAAATCATCACAATCCTAGCTTCCTATTGGTTGGGGACTAGTGTTGTTACAATAACACAATGGGTGTTGTTATAGTAACCTGTCCCTGATAAGGAATACATCCGATAGTTGAGATTGGCTAGTGTCGTCCTAAGGAATATCCACGAGGCAGTGAAGGAGAGAAAAGGGGTCATGGAAAGGTCAATAGAAGACATATTTATAATGCATTATATAAGAAAAGAAAAGAAGAGGTTGGTCAGATGATAGCCTTACAGTACGCTTTTCAAGATGCTCGGGAGAAGGGTTACTTTGTGCAGTATGTGGATGACCACAATGTGCATACACACTTGTTACTAGCCCACCCTGAGTCATTATTGATGTTGCGAGATTGGAACCATGTCATCCTGATAGATGAATACAAGACCAACAAGTATGAGTTGCCATGGGGTTGAGATTGTTGGCATGACACTAGTGGGATTGAACCTTGTCATTGCATTTGCACTAGTGTATGACAATACAAAAGAGTCGTACCAGTGGCTTCTCACGCATTTGCAACATTTGCTTGGCTCTATCACTCCAGATGTGTTTGTTAGTGACAAAGCATGATAATTGGTTGAGACCGTGGGGTTAATGTTTGCATCATCGACTCATATATTATGCCTTTGGCATGTAGACTGGAATGTGAGAGCGAGGAGTCTAACGGAGGTGAGGAGGACATCTCATTGTGGGATAGATGCAACCAAACTGACGGTGGATGTGATCATAGTGTCTTGGAAAAGGGTTGTATATGCCTTAACAGAAGAAGACATGAATACAACATTGGACAATTTTAGGCGTAGTTGCAGAGTACAGTATCGACGACGTTGGAGGTACTTGTCAGTTGAGTGGTTACCTAACAGGCACATGTAGGCCACATGTTATACAAACCAAGTGCGACATTTGGATAATGCAAAGCGATGACACACCCACGAGGAGCATCCGGAGTCTGAAGAATCTGGCTCGGAAGGAAGAGTGGAAAGTAGTCATATATCCAAACCTGAAACAGAGTCAAACAACCACAAATACCCTTACTCCCCGCTCGTATGGACATTCCAAGCTATCTATAGAGATAGGCGAGTGCGGCAACTCCTCGGGTGTAACCGGCCACTCGTCGCTGGTCCTTCAAATATAAGTTGATCGCGGGACGGAGGTGATCGCGGCTCTTATCCATAAAAAGTGTGGATCCCAGTAACATAAACAAGTAACACTGCACCTCCAACTCCCTAATCTTAATCTCTCCTCCATGCACCAACAATCCCTCTGCATATATACCACCATTATGGAACCACTTGGAATTCCACTTACCACCAACAAGACCATCCATCGAGACCTAAAGTAGATCATGCATGTCTAACTTAAAGAACATCTGGATACGGGTCATTTCTCATCAGCTCCCCCTTCAACTGGAATACGAAGAATGTGATGCACGTCTTGGAGAAGAATCGACATCTCTCCAAATAGCATGTGGAAGGTGTTCGTGTCTGGCTGCCACCTCTTTACAAATGCCGATATCATAGTTGTATTTAAATGATGCATCATGCACCCTGCCAAGTGCCAAGTGGGACAATCCTGTGCCCTAAACCACCACATGAGAACCCTCTGAACTCCATTCATATCACCTTAAAGACTCCACACCACTAGATCTATGGAAGCAGTCCAACAACCCACAATTATGCTCAAGGGAAGTCCACAATACAAGGGCAATGTGACCTCCAAAGCTAGGAATCACATTAGGAATCACTGGTCCACCCGAACACATCTTACACTCAAACGCCATACGCCACGACATGTTTCCCCTTGGTGTCTTCTTCCTCTTCTTACATCACTACCTTCCTCACTACTACGTCTCGCAACGTAGCGTCCATATGGCCCATGCTGTGGAAAGTGTGAAGAAGCACTAGAAGATGTCCCAACTCGTGTCTCCTTCTCCATGCCTACATCAGGTTCGGGTGGGACATGGCAAACCTCCTCAACATCCACATCATCATTGTCGTCGTCTAAAGAAATTGAAATACTCCAATTAGGCTCCCATGACGTCGCATCCTTAGGTGTAGGGGTGGCGGTAGTACCTCGACTAAGAGATAATTGTCCCATAGTAGGGCGACCGTCGAGACTCACTACTTCCACCTTCTTCTTCCCCTAACCTTACGCGGATTTTTTTCTTCATTTTCTTTTCGACCAATCTCTCTAATTCTACAAACACGACCTTCCATTTTCCTTACGTTTTCTCTTTCATTCTTTTCTTATAAATATACCGTTTGCCTATTCCATGTCAAGACATCTTTAAAAAAATGAATTACGATTAATGATAATCAAACGCATCAAAATTTTCTATAATTTTCTCTAATTAATTTTGATAATTTATTTACATTAATAACAATTATTTTAGTAATTTTTTCTAATTTTGACTACTTTCAATTTTTTAAATTTATGATACTTTTTCAATTTTGAAGATAATTTTTTATCATTATTTGCAATTTCGTATCATTTTCTATAATTTTTGACATTATTTAAAATTTCCAGATTATTTTTTGATAATTTATTAACATTATTTACAATTTTCATAATTCGACGACTATTTTTTCATAATTTTTAATATTTTTTTAACATTAGTTACATATTAAAAATTTATATTTTCTAAAAATTTTGATACTTTTAAAAAAAAATCAGATAATTTATAATAATTTTTTAACATTAATCATAATATTATATATATAATTGAAAGCAAAAAATATGTAGGATATCATTAGATATAGTTAATTATAAATTGCACAACTTATTTATAATTAACTATAATTTATTTAAAAATTATTACTTAATTTAGAAGATTTAATAATAGTTTTTATTAATTAATTGCAGATAGATCATTTAAAAATTAAACCAACCAAAAGTTTATCGAGGTTTGACCATTGTTTAACTAAAAGTTGACCGATGTCTGATCGTGGCCCAATCGCTTGTTGACCGCAGGTCAAATGATCGTCGTCCGTGGTTAGCTGGCGATACAAACGGTCGTCATTTGCAGTTGGTTGCTGCGAAAAGCCTTGCCTTTAGCTTTTGGCGACCAAGTGACGGCGGCTCGGGGACGACCGTTGCTGGTGTTTGCTGGCGACAGTGAGGAGTACAACGAAGGAAGGATAAGGTGGGCGGAAGGTTGCGGGCGAAAGGTTGTTGTCATTTGCTAGTGACACCAGCTGGCGGCGCTAGTGGAAAGAGGGCGGCGGAAGGTTGCTCCAACCAGGCAAGTTGGACAGTGGTTGTTGGCGGCGCCGAAGGAAGGAGGAGTTGGCGGCAGCCGGCAGTGGCAGTGGCAGTAGCAGCTGCCGGTCGGTAGAGAGGAGGGATGGGTACGGTTCTGGAAAGGGAAAGGAAGGGGGTGCTTGTTTTGTGTTTCTATTGAAAACTAAAACAGCAATTTGGTAAATTGTGTATTAAGTTAGGACAATTATTCGTAATTTTTAGGACGACCTTTAACTATTCAGATGTTTTAGTTACAACGAAACTTATGGTTATGAAAGTGCAACATACTATACTTAAGTGGCAGCCATTCATTTAACTCGTATTAGTTCTTAGTTTTTACTCCCCTCCCCTTAGGGTTGTATGTTTCTTGAATTTAAAAAAGAGGGTTTTGTGATTTAAAATCTAAGGGATTTTTCCAATAATAGCACCTATTAAAAAACATACTAAAATAGCATCCAGCCCACAAAATTTACAAAACTAGCACCTTTTTTAGCAAACCGACCCTTGGAGATGCGTTTTGCGCCACGTCAGACTAGGAACCGCACTAGGAAGGTGCGGTCTGTGTTTTCAGCGGAAAGATCTTCAAGACCGTTGGATGAGGTGGAGATCCAACGACAGACCGCACACTACCTCAGTGATCCGCGCCATGGATCGCAGACCGCTGCTGCAGGGTGCGGTCAGTGCCTCGGGAAAAGCGAACCGCATTGGAAGGGAGTGGTTTCAAGGAGGCCAAAATTACCAGACCGCTCCTGAAGGGTGCTGTCTAAAGAGTATAAATACCCCCTCCCCCCTCTCATTTCTTCACACCACAACCCATTCTTCACTCTCTCTCTCTAACCCCTCCCCTCCCAAAAGCCTAGGAAATAGTGGTCTGTTGGTTGCGGCTAAGTCCAATCTGCCATCAGAAAACATTTCTTTGGTTTTTCTCTCAAAACCCGCTGAATTTCTGTCCGACTTGTCGCGAAAAAATGGACGAGTGGTTCCAAGGAGAGGGAGTTTATTATGATGAATTTCAAGCGGTACGTACTCATTATTCTAGTCAATTTTTTTTTTTTGTTATAAGCTTTTTAATTAATCTATGTAGTAACCTTGTTGTTATTCTCTCGTAGGTTGGGGACGACGTGGATATATACAACCAACGCTATTATTTGGATCAAGGACCTATTGATCCAACTGACTTGTACGACCAACCCAACCATCGTTCAAGGAATGTTTGGAACGATCACCAGGTACATACAATTCTGCATCATTTGTCTTTCTTTTATTTTGCTAATGTACTTAGTGGAATATAAAAAAAATTGAAATAATTTAATCGTATTGGTTGTTTTCAATAATTTAATCGAATACATAGAGCCACTTACTTCGACTCTTTATAAAGAGATGCACGTCTAAGGAAATGGGGTTTTAAGCGATTATCATGATCCTCCCATTTCCTAGGAAAATCAGGTATTAAGAGATCCTCGAATCCCCCCCCCCCCCCTTCCTTCTGTCAAAAAGGCTGCGTTTCTAAGAAGATGTATACATCTTCTAAGAGTCTAACGAGTGTTGCATTGTATTCGATTAAATTATTTAAAACAACCAATACGATTAAATTAGTTACCAAACAACCAATACGATTTATGTTATGTGTACTTAAATGAATTTTATTAATTTCAAATGTTTGAATATGTATGTATCTCTTTAAATTATTATTCATTTATAATGTTATTTATGTCAATTAATTTAGTATGTTTGTTTTATGATAATATGTATATATCTTGGAAAAAACCATTAATTACTTAAATTTGATTGTTAATAATATAATTATAATAGAATTATGGTCGAAATTAAATCATTAATTTTAGTTATTTTAGTTATAAGACTAAACTGTTACTAATATATCATAAATAACGTTGAAATTTTTGCTAGGAGGCACAACAAATACTCCGCTACAGGGGTACGACCAATGTGCTCCCATGGAACCCAGTTATCTTGCCATTTCTCAAAAGGGCACGGTTGGAGTCGATTAGGCATTTTGTAGGCATAAAAGCCGATCGCCAACTCATCACCGCATCGGTCTGGTAGCGACCTTTATTTTCTGAAAAATTGCCACCGACATAAGTGACCCCCTTTCCGCTCTCTTCCGTGTAACCATTCCATCGTAACCCAAGCGTGAACTTTTGGAATGCCATCTGCAAAAAAAAAAAGTAGTTCAACTAATATCATAATAATCACAAATCACAAATCACAATAAAAAGTAATACCAAATAAACTTACGAGTTAACGTTAACCGCAAAAACACTAGAGAAGTAGGGAGCTACAACAGAATATTGAAAAGGGAGAAGGAGAGGTGTGAAGAGAAGAGGTTTCCCGGGCTGTCTTTTATAGGCAAAATCATTTATGAAAACCGCACCTTAGAGGTACGGTTTTCATCTGCCATGCAGCCCCACGTCCATCAATCTGCATGGCTATGTGTTTGGTGTCGAAAAATAATTGACACACAAACCGCATTGGGGGGTGCAGTTTGTGTTGCCAAAACCGCACTTTGAGGGTGCGGTTTGTTTTGGAGAAGCAAAACCGCATCCCAAAGTGCGGTTTTGCTAGGTCAGCACAAGACCACACCTAGGCCATGCAGTTTGGTTAGGTCAGACACAAACCGCATTGCCAAGATGCGGTTTTGGCCCAGAATGCTAAACCGCACCCCCAAGGTGCGGTTTACATACAAAACGCACCAGGGGGTGCGGTTTTTAAAAAAGAGTGTTATTTTTGTAATTTCTATGGACTGGGTGCTATTTTGTTATTTTTTTAAAGGTGCTATTTCTGGAAAAATCCCTAAAATCTAAGGATTTATTAAGGATTTGAGATATTATGCATTTGAAACAATTCTTTGTTTGTTGAGATGTTTTGATAATGGATCAAAGGTTGGAATTTAGAACTTAAAGTCCAAAATTACCTTACTAATCTTTTCTATTTTTATCATGTTTATGATATATAAACAAAGAAGGACAATACTAAGAATAAATCGGTTTGATGTCCATGACTTGTAGAGCAACGTTGAAAGTGTAGGGGCATATCTGCATAAGCATAATGTTGCCACGTGAACAATAGTAATAAACACGGAAAATTTGTTGAACTTTAACATAACATATATATATCAGTTAACAATTTCTTGTCCTCCCGCTCAAAAGCGACATATAACAACATATATTAGGACAAGAGATAACAAAGAATTCCACGTTCCATAAAAAGAACGAAGAAAATTAGAACACAAGAAAGGGCATAGAAAATCTAACTCATGTTTGCACATTAATTGAAAATTTATATTATTTCTTTGTTGTTAATTAATTAATTAATTATAATGTACAATAGCTAAAGGTGAGGACAACCTTGGTTGGAATATCAAAAGTTCATAAGTGTATATGGATAAAATCTCATCATGGATTGTGCTCATGTTTTCTTTGCTTTCCCCTGTTCTTGTTCTTCAAACTTGCATGTATACATTAAGAGTTGCCAGGGGGAGCGCTCTGCTGCTGCCATGGCGGCGTTGGTTTCATGGGATGTTGTTGGGCGCGGCGACATGTTGAAGGGTTCCCTTCCGGCGGCCATTGTTGTTTGTGGGTGGGTGATTTTGAGAACTGGGTTCTTGAGTTTTTGGCCGGTTGTCGGTCGGTTAGGCCATTTAACCGAACCGCACGCCAATCTGTCGGTCGCCCCGGTTTAACCTCGCCTGAACCAAAAACCGCCCGGTCGGTGGGCGCTGAGGTCGGTCGGTGGCCGGTGGCTCCTGGTCAGGTCTCGGTTTAACCGAAAACCGAGAATTTGGTTTTCGGTTAAACCGAAACCGACCAGTTGCCAGCCCTACTCCAACCCAATTGGGTTGGGTATGAAATCCAAATATAATGATATGGGTAGAGTTTGATGGGTTTGTACCCATACCCATTTACTTTGGGTTGGGTTGGGTTTATAACAAATGGATTTGGGTTTGTACTCATGCCCAAATACAAATTACAGTTTGGTACGTAAACTTAATAGATATGCATATTTAGTACCTAAATTTACTTTTTTGCATATAAGTCCTCAAAATATCGATGAAAATTACGTTTGGGTACCTAAATAATTTTGGTCTTACATTTTGGTATCTAAAATTTTCAAATTTTACAAATAGGTCCAATTTTTGCATGTGTAGTTAAAACACTTTTAAGTAAATGGATATCCATATCCAACTTATACTCATTTAAATTATGGAAGCAATATTCATATCTTACCCCAAATATTTCACCCATATAATTAACCATGGGTGATTGCACAGACTACACATACACAAGACATACACACACCTCTCTACTTTGCTCATTATCTGCAACTGTATAACCTTCTTCTTCCTTGGGAGTGAAATTGCTAACAGCATAAGCAGCAGACACCGCCATGGCCAATTTCACCTTCATTACATCAGACCTTCCAAACCCAACCACCAAAACGTTGCTTCTTAGCACCGTCCCTACCACCGCCGGTTTCTGCTCGTTCAATGGCTCGCTACACCCATCGACCCTATATTATTTCCCGTCTTCAACCTCTCCTTCCCTTTCAATGAATTCTTCGCCCGAGAAACTGCACGCCAGGAGCACGAGAAGTCGGCACGGCTTCGACTTTTGTAAGTATCCAATTTCGTGAATGGAGCGATCGATAGTGGACATTTGACATCTTTTTGGTATCTGGGTCAATATTTTGTACCCGTTTCTGGTTTATGTCTTTCAGGTTGCAAAGCAAGTGAAGTGGCGAATGCCCCAGTGGAAGAGCAAATAGCTGAGATGGAAGTTGCTGGTGGTTACACGATGACCCAGTTCTGCGATAAGATGATAGATGTTTTCTTGAACGAGAAGCGGAGAGCGAAAGAATGGAGGAAATACCTGGTGTTTAGGGAAGAATGGAATAAGTACAAGGATAGATTCTATAGCAGGTGCCAAATGAGGGCCAGCATGGAGACTGATCCTGCTCTGAAACAGAAGTTAATTTCACTAGCATCCAAGGTGAAGAAGGTAAGGTTACGAGTAAATAGCTTCGCACTGCTTGGCTTCTTTGTTCTCAGTATACAATGTTCTCATCCAGGGAAACGGAACTTTTTGGTGTTGAAGAATAAGTTTAGGATTGGCTTTATATTGACAGAAGTCAAATGTCACCTGATTGAAATTGGGTTTAGGACCAGATAATGATGCATTTTAGTCATGGAACTCTTCGACTGGTTTCCTGGGTGTTGCATTTTGCATTAAATTGGGAGGTTAAAAGTATTGAGATACATCCTCTTCGCGTTTAGAACTTCCTATGTTCTGTGTACTCAGGAATGAGAATTGCAGATTGATGATGAGATGGAGAAGCACAATGAACTTCTTAAGGAGATCCGGGACAACCCAACTGACCTGAATGTAATAGTTGCAAAGCGGCGCAAGGACTTCACTGGGGAATTTTTTCGCCACCTTGGCCTTCTTTCAGAAACCTACGATGGTCTGGAGGACCGTGATGGTAAGTTCCTTGAGCATTTTTTCCCGAATAGATATATGTTGCATTGGTCAATTATAGCAGAAATTTGATGTAGTACTAGTTTCACCTTGTGCTGTATAGCCTTGGTGCATTGTCTATTGCCTGCTAATAGAACCTGTTGACATAGTACTTGGTCAACTGCACTTAAAGTTCATGAGTTAAATAAAGCAGCATATCTCAAATCTCAAGCAATCGAAAGCATATTCTCGTAACGCCTTTATGATAAAGTGATGAAAGATGTCTGGACGCTCAGTTGGAAGATGCCAAATTGAATCAGCCTATTCTGCATAGATCAAACTACTTGTGCATGTTTATATTGCATTGGCTTTTGAGATGATGGGATTCTGTTACCCGAGTTTAGTGATGCAACTATTCTCATACAAGGTGTTTGTTGAAGTTTGATTCAAGCGTCAGGAATTAAAACTTCACTGGAATAGTTTAATTAGATGGACAATACAAAGGGTCAATAATAAATAACTAGCAGGCAAAGCATAAAAATGATCTTTCACATTCTCGAGTAGTTTAATTAGTTGTACTTGATTACATGTTGGTTCTCATTGTACCCTTCTTGGAAAAAGATTGCAGAAGGCATGACTAGTTTTCATAGCCCTCCTCAGGCACCAGATCCAGATATCTGAAATTGGCTGCTACCTTTTTTTGAGCAGATATAGCAAGACTTGGAGCTCGGTGCTTGTCTGCTGTTAATGCGTTCGATAGTACACTGGAGAATCTGGAGACATTAGAATCTGCCCAGACCAAATTTGATGACATACTAAATTCACCAACCATTGATGCCGCATGTGAAAAGATAAAAAGCCTAGCCAAGGCGAAGGAACTTGACTCATCCTTGGTTTTATTGATAAACAGCACATGGGCAGCAGCAAAAGAGTCCACTAATATGAAAAATGAGGTATGCTTGAGGCCTCAGGTGGGCAAATATCATTGCAGTGAATGGGTTTTTAGTTGGCTGTCTATTTTTCGTCTGATTGCATGGTTAGAGTGGATAGAAACCAAGTCTATATGCATAGTTCTTCACCTTGTAACACTCTTGTTGCCAGTATGGCAGCCATACTATAATGGTGCATCAACTGGTTTAAATTGACCGTGAGTGAAAATCACCTACTATTGGTACCTGAGTAAATATGAAATCGAAGTGAGGTCTCCATTTTAAAAATGAAGAACAAATTTGCACGGAGAGTAGTGATGATTTCATTGTGGCCAGTGGCCTTCGGTTTGTTGGTCCCAAAAATTCCTAATTTCTAATTCTCAGGTGAAAGAAATAATGTACCAAATATACAAGACTACCAAGAGCAGTCTCAGAAGCATTGCACCAAAAGAAATAAAGCTGCTCAAGCATTTGCTGAACATCACAGATCCGGAAGAGCGATTTTCAGCATTGGCAACAGCTTTCTGTCCTGGTGACGATCATGAAGCCAAAGAGCCATATGCCTTATACACGTAAGCAAGCATCTCACTCTGGGAAACTACATTGATCTTTCAGGCAATTGCCTCAGTAAACATTCACCATGCTGCCTTCTTATTACTTTGAGCAGAACCCCCAAGGAGCTGCACAAGTGGATCAAGATCATGCTTGATGCTTATCATTTGAGTAAGGATGACACAGGTATTGCAGAAGCAAAACAGCTTAGTCAACCGGTTGTGATGCAGAGGTTGCTGATCCTACAAGAAACTATCGAACAGGAATACATGGAGAAGACTACATTTCGAACGCAAACCAAAGATGGAGAAATCTCAGGATCATGAGTGATGTCGCCATTTTTTTATCTTGATACTGCGTTTTGAACTGTGCTGATAGAGCCAGAGATACAGAACAGTGAAGCTACATAGCAGCCATTTCCTTAATGTTGCAGCTTGAAACTCCAAAAACAAAAGTATACGAGAGCTCTCCATCTGCTGTATCAACTTTTATAGTAGTCTTGTTGTCCAGCGACAATTCGTGGCATTGGAGCTTTGCAATTGTGCTAGTGAATTCCATTGTGACCTCAGTTCCTTATGGCCCTTTTTTTGTCCGTTGAACATTTTTGTTTACCTATCCCCAATTGAACTAGGTAAAAATCCAACTGTGAGATCAGAGAGAGTTGATTGTTGTCACGGAAACTTGAGAATAAATGAAACAAAAGAGTCCCAATGAACATGGTAAGGTTGACGGTCTTTGGACACCATATATAATATTAGTAGGAAGAGATTTTGATGTTGCTTGATTGCCCTGATGACTTAGGAGTAGGACTAGGGCTCTCACTTCGGGTTCGATCGTTTTGGTTAATTGAAAACTGAACTATTTAATTCTTGTTATCGGCTATTATCAACAATTTACATTTGTTTTGCTCTTTTTGAATTCGCTTCGATTAAAATTGAAAAGCTGATAAGTGACTTACTATAATCGATAGAAAAATTACAATAAAGAACGAGTTCATTATGATTCATTGTGATTTACAAACTTTTAGTTAAAAATTCATGCTTCAAATATACCACTCTAGTATAGGTGCAAATTTTTTGAATTACAACTTAAAACTAAAAAAAATACAACCCTTTAAAATTAATAGCAACAATTATTTATGGATAGTAACCAAGCATGTTACTGTCTGGATATGCACCAAGCAAATGTGGTTGTATTCCTTGTATAGGGGGAAGTCACTTACTTGCATATGAATGTTTAAACTTTTTTTTCCATAGATATTCAATGTGCGTTGGTCAACAAGATGTTGAATCAATAATGAGATGGCCTGTTTCGCCACAATATGAGATGCCCTTATGTACCTTTTTGGCTTGGACAAAATCCACGACTAAATTCAACCCTTTGCAGGGTGAAAGCCATGGACTGAGCCCATACTGTCAAACGAAAACACTGCAGCGAACTCCTTCAAAATAACAAACAACATAGTAGGGTTGACAGAAAATGATATTTTTAAATAAGTCCTGAAGTCTATGAAAATGATATTTTTTAATACATAATTTTTTCAACTTACAATCTAATACTTAAACCTTAAAGTTTTACAAACAAGCCTATTTATATGTAGTTAAAACAACATCGAGAAAAAGGACTAACCAATACCCAAAAAGAATGCAATAGAAATATTATTACTTACCCAAGTCTACCCAACAAATATCCAAATGCATATAAACTTGACTGATACCCTACTCATAATTAATGGATTTACTTGAATCTGGTTAAACTTATCCATGAGTAGGAAGTTTTCATCTTTAGTTCGGTGGGAAGTTAGCAAAGTTTATCGATACTCTCATTGGCTTCTACTCGCCTGAGCTCTAGTTATGAATGCATGTGCTTACGTGAGGTCTTGTCAAATAAGGTACCATAGTGTTGGATACCTCTTTCAATTGTGTGTTTACAATTAGTGTACCATATTGTAGAGCATGTCAGAAGCTCTCAATGGGTGTTCTATGTTGACTATGCTCTAGTCAAGTATTCTATGCAGAGTATTCTATGTGGGAGTGTTCCCTACCAAGTCCCAAAAATAATACTCGGAACCCATCTCTAAGGATATCCTGATGAGTTTATCCAGATGCTTGCAATCATTGACCCAATCATTCCAGACAATCCACGTTGAGAGACGTTCCTAAGGAATTTATCTAGATCTTCACGTGTTGGTTCACAAAGGTATCTAGCCAAAGAAGATCTAGATGAGTGATCTGCCTAAATTTAATGAGTGATCTTCACGTGTTGGTTCACATGGATCATTGCAGTGCAACTTTTCTTCAAACTTACCAGAGCAGTAGTCTCGCCAATTTGAAGGTATTCATAAAGAGAAGCAGCTGATGAACCATAAGCTAGCATGCGCAGAGCACCATAAAATTTTACCGCATGTTATATATACTTGTTACCAACAACATCAACTCTTCTTAAAATTTTTTGGTCAACCTCTAACACACTCCTCAAAATGCGATGAAACAACACAATATACATATTAAAACGTCTTTGAATGTTCGCTCATCGTATTTGGCATCCTTTCATTTGGACCAAAGTAACCATTCGTCAAGCATTGATGGGAAACTTCTTTATGAAATCTAATGAAGTCTCGACTGACATCTTTTTGGAGAAGTGGTGCACGTTCCTCATCCTCCATTTGCTGAAGTTCCAGCTGGAGTTCGTGGTCAAACATTTCATGCTTTGTATACTCTTGTTCATCAGACGTGAAGATTGAGATGAATACATGATGATCTGTTGTGGGAAATATTAGAGAAGTGAACAATGGGGTGGTATTGTTCTCCTTTCAAGAAGCTATTTTTAGATACACAATTGAATTGGAGGTAGATAGTACATGAGTGGTGTGAGTTGTTTCAAGTATTAGCACTTGACTATACTAGTGGACAATTTTGTATAAAGATGAAGTGATAGATTACTGAATTTTTGGAAACAAGATGAGTGGCATGAGTTGTTTCAAGTATTAATAATTGAATATAGTAGTGGGAAATTATGTATAATGATGAAGTGATGGATCACCGAATTTTCTAGATACTATATGAGTGGTGTGAGTTGTTTCAAGTACAAATAATTGACTATACTATTGGACAATTATGTATAAAGACAACATGATAGGTTCCTGAATCATTTGGACAATAGATGAGTGATTTGCCTAAATTTAATGTCAACAATTAACCAAAGAAGATGTGGACCATTAATTAAAGTAATTATTTAATTATTTCACCTATAAAAAAATATCTCAGAAATTGCTCAAATTTTATCGGAATATCCCCCTATTTTTTGCCCTCGGGTTGCAGTTAGCCTAAGTGTGTTATAACTCTTGGGCTGAGGTATGGCTCTAGCCTACAGGATGCTAGCTTAGTGTGCGTTGGATTCTTGATTTGGCTACCACTACGCACAAACCCAACTATAGACCAAGTGCAACCTATAGACGGGTGTAGGATAGGATACGTATTTCGATATCAACACGGACAGTCGATCTACCTTTACTTCAATGTTCACACGTTATCTAGCAATCAATTTGTGGTTAAAGCTAAGGAAACTAAACACGCAAGCAATTAAACTTTGGTGAATTCGATTGAGAAAGAATCACTCGGAAATTGCTCCCCCTAGTCTCATATCAAGATACAACGACAAAAACTTTAGTGTGATAAGTAGGATCATATACCGTGAGGAGGTCACAACTAGCTAGGAAATCCTAACCCTCTTAATTGATCGACTAATGATTTTAACAATTAGCTAGGAAACTCTATCTCTCTTAATAGATTGACTAAGGATTGTCACAATTAGTTAGGAAACCCTAACTCTCTTAATCGATCGACTAAGGATTGCAAAATCACTCCCTCGGAAGATAATAAGAAATGACGAAAAGTAATAAATCAAGACAAAATCATGGCACTACTTTGATGAATGAGGAATGACCCAAATCACTTTAGAGAAGGTTACCCAAATTGCCAAGATTGGGCTATAAGGGGATTTCCTTCTTCTATATCAACTTGTCCCAAAATTGAGATATGAACAACAACACTCAAATTTCTTGAATAATACCTCAATCATTATATAAATCACAAACCCAACACACACAGATTTCAATTCCTACAGTCTAACACATCATAGACTAGTGTTCACAACATCCACGTGAAATTGGAGACGACTTCATAGTTATAGGAGAAAATACAAATAAGATAGAAGAAAAACTCATTGCCAGTTGATCCTCTTTCTTCTTAGATGCTTGATTCAACATTTGAAGAAGAAATTAACCTTTCTCTAGCCTTGGGTAGGTGAAATTCTCCTTCCTTCTTAGCTCGTAGCTCTCTCTCTCTCTCTCTCTCTCTGTATATATATATATATATATATATATATATATGGTGACTACTTCGGTGCACTAAAAAAAATGAGTGCGTTCAATGCACCCAACTCAAAAACTAGTCTTAAGGTGTCGAATTTTGAATTTTAAGATGTAGAATTAGTGTAATATGATGATATAACATATGATAACAACTAATTAGTGGATAACCCTAAGCCCTAGACCTCCAATTTTGAGTTCTATCCGTAAACCCCAAATTATAAACCCTAACCCTAATCCTAAATCTCTAAACTCTAATCCTTCAAATTAAAGTAAATCTTTAATGGGGTTTTGTGCAAATTCATGTGTGTTATTGTTCATCACATCATAAGTGATGATTGACATCATTTTGACATAAATCGCATGTTTAAAATGACGGTTATGAAGCGAGTGCACCGAATGCACCCATAAAAGTGAGTGCACCGAAGACATCACCACATATATATATATATATATATATATGGGGAGTTCTACGGTACCCAGGGTGAAATCCGGGGTACCGCATACCTTGAGTAAGAAAACGCTATCCAGGACTTGAATTGACTGATGTTTCGGACATGATACTATACTCTAACCCTTAAAGATCAAAATCTAGGTCTTAATTCTCTAAATCTTCTACCCCAAGATCAATTTAATTAGAAACAATAATTGACGGTTATGATTCGTCCAAATATAGAGGGGGAAAATCAATGCACCATCTTAGGGTTTATAGTTTACGATTTAGATAATTAGGACCTAGGGTTCACTCATTAAGGGTTAGGGTATAGTATCATGCCCAAAAATCTCGCTAATTCGAGATCTAGATAGCGTTTTCATACTCAAGGTATGCGGTACCCTGGATTTCACCTAGGGTACCATAGAAGGCACCATATATATATAAACCTTGAAGAAGAAGCTCCAATCTATCTCTAGGACTATGTTTTCTTTCTTCATCTCACTCTCCTATTTATAGCTCCCGACTGCTGAAATCTCGATCCAACTTCAGGCCCGTACACATTCGGGAGGCTGTGACATTTGCAGTGCCCGCTAGCTATACGAACCCTCCTGGAACATTGCGATCTTCACAGTTTGAATTTTGAAATCACGGCTTCCGCCCATGATAATCTTTTCCTAGCCGTGATCTTCACATTTTTTACCACTTCGCTCCCTTTTCGCCCTCTTTCGTTCGACTTTCATCTCAGAGCCAAGATTACATGTTTAGGTCCGAAACATGACATAAATACAAACAAACCATGCGTAAACTAGCTCAAAGGACGGTGCAAACACATCAAATGTCATAAAGGGGTACAAAGGTGTGTAATATAATCCGAATCAATTCTCCCAACCACTATTATATGAAATGGTTGAGAGATTAACTAAACCTCATTTGAACCCTAAGAATAATGTGTGATAAATTAAACCCCTCATTTAAGGGTCATTTGGGAGAAATTGGATGGGGTATTAACAATTTAAGTGTTAACACCATGCTAACATAAACCATTAAGGGTAATTTGGTAACTATTTCTCATAGCACCAGTTACCGTCTCAGGAAAAATACAAGTCAAACCCCCTCCCCTATTTTCTTCAAAATCGATTCATTTCTTCTATCGCGATGACAATAATGATAAGCCTCTTGAACCTTAGTGTCCCCTGCCGTCATTGAAACCTTCAATTATATTGCATTTCCTTGCTCCCTTCTCATTCTCTCTAGTTCCATTCGACAGAAAACCACAGTTCGTCTCGACTTACGACCTAAAACCTTGTTCCATGCATCATGTTGCTCTTATCCATGTCTTCCTCTATCAGACTCCTAGTTTTACTTGCCAATCAAATTCCAACCTCAATATTGACCTTCGAAATAGCAGTTTATAGGTAGGAATCATGAAATTTCTAGAACTAGAACCGTTCGACGTCCATGCACTTTCTCATTAATGTTTCTTGAATTTACATGCTCACATTTTTCTAGTTTGTGGTATGAATTGTGATGTTTTTCATGTTTATTGTTTTGAGTTTCTTTTTGTGGTTTTACATATTTCTGGTTTGCTTCATTACATTTCTAGTGCAACTTTAGTCTTCCTGGTCTAGATTATGAGATTTGTGGTTTTCATTGTGTTTAACACTTATGCTGTACTTTATAGTTGTGGTATGAAGATTGAGGATTAATTGGTGTTGGATTGCCCTTATTGTGGTCTACCTGAGTCTCAGGTACACATGTTTATGGAGTGTGAATGGTCACAACATATATGGAAAAGATCCTCATGATCACACCAATATAACATTGCAGATGGGGAAGACTTGTGAGCTTGGTTAAATATAGTGATTACAATAGCGGATTTGGATGCGGTTGGAGGAATCTATTTCCTAATGTCTTCCTATGCAATGAACAAATAATCATCAATTCAATGGGGAAAACTCAAAGAGAAACATGTGGAAATTAAAGCTAAAAATGGATATTGGAGTACATGTATGAACAAGAACATGTACTACGCTCAAAGTGAATGCGTTAGAAGGAACCCTCACCAGAACCTGCAAGCATTGGGAATTCGTAAAGTCAACACAAATGCAAGATGTTTGGGCCAAGGAGGAAGATGGTTGGGGATGGTAGTGCGTGATTGGACAGGTTCATTTAGATTTTGTGTCGTCAAGAGAGAAGCCGAGAGATGGAGCCCAACCAATGCTGAAGGAAGGGCAATCCTCTTTGCGATTAAAAAGCTGAAGGAGATGCAATGGAGAACTGTACGGGATTGAATCTGATTGTATGAAATAGATGAACAAGTTACAAAAACAAGCAACTGACATGTCAGAACTCTGTATGATATGTCAAGCAATTTTGCACATAGATGGAGCAGAGGGTTGTCGTGGTTGGAGACATACCTATCGTGAAGCGAACTCCGTTATTCATAAGCTACTTCATTGTTAAATTAGTCTTAATGAACTAATAATTAGCTAGGCTTTTACCCTTCATTCACTTTGAATGCAATTGAATGAATTGCACTCAGATATTATCTATAAGTCTTAATCAATAAATTATAGGAGGTCTGCTCCCTCCATTCCACAAAAAATTGATGTTTTAAGCAATGTAGTCAAAAGCGTGGTTCTACCTGGATGCGAAAAATAGGTAAAATCCTAAAACGTAAAAGCGACGTGTAAAAGCGTAAATTTTTTATACATCGTGTAAATAAATCAAAAATATATTAAGTACGACATGTAATCTGTAAAACATGAGTGTATAGATTTTAAATAAGTGCAAATCTACATGAATTTCATGCGTAAAATGTAATTTCCCACACAAACTAATTTGAGTCGATTCTAAAGTAGAGCTAACTCATAACATTTTAACAAGAGGTTCATAAACATAAATTATAACTCACAAGCAAGCTTAAGAATCCAAATTCTCACAAGCTAGTTTAATTTACATAATGAAATAAAAGTTTAATAATCCAAATTTTTGAAATCAAATCACACAAATTGTTTAAGTATATACTAGTACCTCGACTCTTAAACACCTGAGTAATTAGGTATAATCATATTGTGCTTTTGCTTTTATATGATCTTGTTACTGCTATGAGCTCATTTATTTTGGATTTGTACCATCCCTTCATATTGAGTACCCAATGCTCTTTGAGCTCCATAACCCTTCAGTTAATCAACGGGTCACACATTGTGGAGTTCTTGAATTCTTTGCATAATATTGGCTACACTTTTTGCTTATCTAATCCAGAACATGTTTGTCCCCACATATACAAATGTATATTTTGGTTTCTTCTTCTTCCTACAACTTCGGCCAACTCAACCGGACATCAATAGCTCTGATTGGGTTCCCGACCTAACCAATTACAATAATGATTTTTTGTGTCAAGATTTTCGCACGGAGTTAAACCTTTTTGCTATTGAGTGGGCAAAGAATTAGTCTCCGCATCATCGATCTCAGCATTCCCTATAGTTTCCGGTGGCCATGCCTCATCCAGCACCTCTTTGCATGGCCCAGTGGAGCTCAAAAGATACACATCACCGGAATCGATTTACCCCAGCCAGGATTCTGCCCCACACAGTTGGTAGGGGAAACCAGTCGACAGTTTTTTTCACAACACTCTAAACGACGATCGTTTGGTTTAAATAGGGCCTTTGTAAAAGCTACACAAAATCGTATAATAACACACTAGAATCGCGTTTTTGTCATTTTTTTGCATTTTTATCGATTTTACTCACGTTTTTATCCTCTTATTTTTACTAAGCGATTTTAGGTACAAATTAAATCATTTTAGTGGTCTAGATATGTAAAAACGTACGTTTTTACATTTTAATGCGCGATTTTGACTGCAATGGTTTTAAGTTTGTCAATGTAAATCTCTTGGAACACCCTTCGACATTTTAATAATATGTCGCTTGGACAAAATGCAATGAGATTTTAATATTGTGTTCGTTCAGGACAAAATATAATTGTTTACCTTATTAACTTTTTTCTTTTCTTAATCGTAAAGCTAAAATATCAATTTGTGAAAACTGAAAAATGATACCCCATATCAGCAGATCCGTCTATATTATAGTTTCTAACTTGGGGAAAATATCTCAATCCGTCTATATTATAGTTTCTAACATGGGGAAAATATCTCAATCAGTTGGAGCGGGAAAATATATCAGAACATTTGGACAATTGTGGACCAAATCGGACCCACAGTTTAGTCCGGACTATAGGCCATTAAGAATGGTAAGGTATGGTCTATGATTTGTATTATCGGATGTATTAATCTCTTGGTTTGGTCTTATTTAGACTGTGGTTTACTAGACCAAACTGAGGACCCCACCCAGTTCCCAATTCTTGTTGGCAGCTCACTCGACCTCTCTCCCAACTCCTCAACGAAACCCAAGTCTCAACCCTAATTTTGTGAATCCCATCCACTCCTTCATTCATAAACCACACTTCGTCAAGAGTAGAATTGATCTTGTCTCTGTATGACATTATGTTAATGTTTATGACGTTATGGTGCAAGGTGAGTTGCTCTAACTTTATGTTTTTGCTACGGGAAAATACCACTACAACATTCGAACTATCCGAAAAATTCCACTTGTGTCCTATTGTATTTAATACTCGATTTGTATCCTAAACTATTTACCCATTAGTGTTTACTGATGTTGACCATGAGTATTTAACAGAAAGTCTAGTCAGCGTTGGTGTGGCATCTAACTGTAATTTTTAAATAATTAAATAATAGTAAAAATTAGAAAAAAAACTAAATAAGTCCTATCTCATTTACCTGAATGCCCCCTCTCGGCCTCGAGCCTCCTCTTACTGGCGGTGATCCTTCAACTCTGACTCAACAATCTTCTCCAATGTTGGTGAGCAAGAGAGCTTTCATCGTGTCAACAAGTCCCTCGTCGACATCGAAGTTTCATCCCAGCCACCGTCGATCTTTGTCACCACCACCTCTGAGTCCTCCACTCTACTCTTCGAACCCAAAAATGTTGTGGATTTCCATCTGGCTCCCTCACCCCGCGCGCTCCAATCACCTTAAACTCCAAATTAAGGCCCGTGTAACGACCTCTTCTCACTCCAGAATGTATTACCATGCTTTATTCATGGTTTCAATCTCCGATTGAGTTGAATTGAACAAATCCTATTTTGGCAAAATTAGGGTTCTTTAAAAATGGTAACAGGTTTTCATTTCCTAGGCAAAGATCACAACGATTATGGGCACACTTGGATCTGGAAGCCGAAGTCGACAAACAAAAAAGGATATTGACTCTTTCCTTATTGAAACCCTCTACCTCATCCCTTGAAACCCTACGCCCTCCTTGATTCTCTTTCTGTCTGACTATGCTCGTTAGCTTCCATTTTAATCATCCTGCTATCTGGTGGAACTGAACTGAAAATGGGAGAGATGAAGGTGGTGGGGAGGTGATTGGCCACAACATTGCTGGGAAAGGAGAGGCAAAGCTAGTGGTGGGGGAATGATATTGCGGGGAAGGGGAAGAAGTTGAGAAGGGGAGATTGGGGAGGGCAGAGCCAATAACTATTTTATATTTTAATGTTCTAAGAATTTTGTATTTTTCTTATTATAATTTAGTTTAAATAATTTATTTTTTTATTAAATAATAACATGTCAATGACGTGGTATCCAAGTCGATATCAATTTTATACCACATCTGCGAAAGTCAACACTAGTTTATCTTCAGTCCGGTCAATATTTATCTATAGCGGTCAACGTAAGACGTTATGACACAAATATCACAAACTAATATAGTTCATGATAAAAATGGAATATTTAATAAAATAGGACACAAGTGACATTTTTCTGATAGCTTGGGTGTTGTAGTGGTATTTTGCCTTTTGTTATTTACTTGGGTTTATGATATCAAAATTATGCATGTGTTGCAATTCATGTTTTAAGGGGGAATACATATTTCTTTCTTGGTTATTTGTCAATTTTTCATGTGCTTGACTACAAAACTGTCCAGCTTTCATTTAATATGATCTGCATGGTACTGACTGTACTAAACCACACCGCACATGCATGATTTGTTATAGATCGTGTTTAGTTTTCTTCATGATTTATAATTCAGTTTCTCGGTCTGAATTAGGACTGCAAATGAGCCAAGTCGCGAGCAACTCGGCGATCGTATCGGAAAGAACTCGTTCGATACTCGACTCGTTATTTAACAAGTCGGCTCGCGAGCCTTGTACTCAGCTTGACAAGCTGGGTTAATGAGCATTTATCGAGCTCTACCGAGTCAAGCTCGGGCTAGATTATTTTTTTCAAATCGAGCTTGAGCTCGAGCTGGATTATCAAAATTCAAGTTCGAGCCGAGCTCGAGCTAAAAAATATATAAACAAGTAGAGCTCAATCTAAGCAAAAACTCGACTCAGCACGTTTGCAACCCTATTCTAAATAGGGTTATAGGTATAATATGCCCTTCTACTATGACGTTTTATCAAACATGCCCCTTTACTATTTTTTACATCAAACATGCCCCTGTACTTTGTAAAAATGATCAAACATGCCCTTTTGTTAAAATTTTCATCCAAAAACCATTAACCATGGCCGAACTTTGGTTTGTGGGACACAAATATCTAGAATATCCCTAATAATTTCACTTTAGAATTTATTTTGGTTATTTTGTATAGCCAAATAATTCAAATAATTTCACTTTGAAGAGACCTAGAGGAATAAAACGGGGGACAAAACTATCATTTTCCCTCCCATTTGCCGATGTCGGGTCGTCTAAATATCGGTTCAACCATGATTGACGATTTTTTCAATCGAAATTTTAATGGAAGGACATGTTTGATAATTTTTTCAAAGTACAGGGGCATGTTTGATGTAAAAAATAATAGAGGGGCATGTTTGATAGAACGTCATAGTAGAGAGGCATATTATACCTATAACCCTTCTAAATAATAGACCGTATATAACCATACTAGCATGGGGCCCCACCAGTTGGCCGGAGGAAGGTTAGTTATGAAATTTTAGAATGTAATGGGGTGTATAGCTTATTGTTATATAGTTTTGTTTTGTTTTTTTGAAACACATGATAAAGATAGTGAATTTTAGCAGGAAAGAGGCGTGGATGATGCAACGAATAAAAAATCAGCCTTATGAACCAAGTTCGAGTACTTGTTACCTTGTGAAACAGTATTATTTCTAATAATATGATGAGGTGGAGTAAATTTGATAGAAACCGAATTCCAGAAAACCGAATAAAAAATCGCCGATAAAATACACTATAATTTAATCATTAGGTTATCAAATAATTACATAATATATATTTGAAAGTATAAAAAGTGGACTATTCTAGTTAGTCGAGGTCAAACCATTTAATAACTTTAAAATACATTATATTTTAGCCACTAAGATATAAAATAATAGCATAATATATGTTATGCTAGAGAAAATAGCATGTTTTAGGATGGCAAACCCATGATGTTCATTTGTTTTACTTGATGGCCAAATTCCATATGGGTCAAGCCCATTCAACTCTTTTATTTTATGGTTCGCGGTTAGCCCATTAAAATCCATGCATTAGTTTATTATTAATTTTTTTTCTTTTTAGCAATAAAAAAGGAGTATTGTTCTTACCCTTTCATATATATCTTACCAACATCGAGAAATAAAAGGGCTTTAGAAAACCCTATGTCCCCTAAAAAAAGCTGCTCAGTGCTCACCGGCTCATGGTTCACTTCTCTCTCTCTATCTCAATTATATCGTCGTCGGTAGCCACTTCTCCCCGTCCTTGTTTTCCCATCGTTAATTTTAGCTCTGCAAACTTTTTCCCTGCATGTCATCCTCCCCCCGAACCTTAATTTCAACTCCCCCTCTCGGTCTCTGTTTTTCATTTCTTAATCTTCACTTCTCTTATCACTTGTTTAAACCCCTCTTTGTATATCTTCGACGCAAGTTTAACGAAGAAGAAGAGAAAGCCACCAATCTTCAATTATACTGTATTGTTACAGTGAAGCGATATTGTGGATTTCTTTGTCACTTATCTGTTAGAGCTTGCGAATGATGGAAAAAGAGGTGGTTGATTATGATTTGATTAGATGACTCAATCTTTAAATTTTACTTGCATGCAATTTACCACCCTTCTTCATTTGCATGACTGGATCATTTTATTAGTATTCTTGGATTTCTTTTCATAGGGAAGGGATTAGGTGATTAGCACACGGAAGAAGGATTGGGGAAATTATTTTGTAAACAATTATGAAGCTCACTTTCTTTCATTATTTAATTTATTCCCGGCGTGGGTGGAGTCCAAATCCAGCATCGGAACAATCCAAGACTCGATTATGGCGATCGCTATGGAGGCACGAAACAGATGCGGCTGAAACCTGTTCTGTTTTTGTGGCCGCAACAATCCCTGGGCCAGTTCAAGTCCACACGTGTATGGTAAGTTGGCCCGTTCCACAGAGGAAAGAGATGAAAGTTGACACTCCCTATTATACCCTCCTACAAACGCTCCTGGAGAAGGAAATTTGAAATGGGGGAAGAGTTTTTTCCTTCCTGCTATTATATTATGTGTAAATTGTAGTAATTAGAACCCCACTTTTAAATCTGGAAGCAAGTGACCACTATCACAAAACATCATATTATAAAAACTTATCTGCAATCCCGAGGTTATTTCACTCAAAAGAAACTATGTTTTATAAGTTGAAGATCAACATTATAGCTTGAATAGTTCAATTCGGCAATGATCTCAGGTCTTGCATATAAATTTTGTGTAAAAGTGGTATGATTGAAGATATTCCCTATTTTAACACTAATCAAAATAGTCTTTTTTTACTAGAAACTAACCAGCAAAACATTTCAAATCGGAAAAATGATGATACTGAAAACGAGTATTATAACAAAAGCAACAAAAAGTATAGTTAGTTATCTCTAATCAACTCAAAAATCAACCTAGAAGATCAACCAAATGAACTGATCTTAAGAGATCATACATTATTATCAAAGAAACGAAATAACCCATCAGTTAACTCTCCAAGCAAGAACACTCAACCTTTACATATTTACCCCTCCCAAAATTGCTTTGCGTAACAATATAGGTGGACGAGGTTAGGCGATTGTCGAGTCCGGTGGGAAGGTTTGGAGAGACGGTAATGGTTGAGCCTTTAGTAGGACGGGAGCCCGGGACACTGTTTATCTTTAATCAACTCAAAAGTCAACCTAGAAGATCAACCAAATGAACTGATGTTAAGAGATCACACATTACTGTCAAATAAACTAGATAACCCACCAGTCAGCTCTCCAAGCAAGAACACTCAATCTTTCCATATTAAACCCTCCGAAAATTGCTTTGCGTAACAATATATGTGGAGGAGGTTAGGCGGTTGTCGAGTCCAGTGGGAAGGTTTGGAGAGACCACGATGGTTGAGCGTTTAGTACGTAGGTCGAGACACCATTTAGAACTATTTACATTAGTTGCGGCTTTTCAATCCTCATTCGACAAACCAACATCACTCAACATTTTCATATTTACTCCTCTCTTAAAGACACATGTGTCACATATTCACTCAAAACTTCTATGTTAAAAAATATTGTTGTTGTATGGTAGTTATATTATTCAATACTGCAATTCGATATGCAATATTTGCACCAATGACATTAGGCTTGTGATTTAAAAATTATTCTCTTTTTATAAGCTAAATAGAAATAAAATTAATTATTAAACTTGAATTAAAATAATCAAAGTATAAAAATAGAAGTATCAAATACCAAAAAAATATTTAGGGGAGAGTTAGTGGCTTAGCTAACTGTGATGGAAAATTCCAATGATTTTTTATATTTAAGCTTCCCGTATGTTTTTAATTTAAAAGGTTTAAACAAATTTGTTTAGTCTAACTAGTTATGTTTCTTGTCTTTCCTCAAAGAGATCACAATTCAAATCTCATCACTTATGTATTTTTCCTGTAAATAAGAAAATAATAAATAACTGTGAAGATGAATTTACCCTACCTATTTTTGCTATGGATGCAAGGATTTTGTAATGGGGAAAACATCTTTCTCATTTCACTCTTATATTAGGTGTAGCGGAAGTAACCCGGTGATTGAGCGGTTAGTGGGTCAGACACTATTTGGGTCCGTTTACATTAGTAGCACCTTTTGCCATTTTGCGTTGCGCAAACCAACAACACTCAATCTTTTCATATTTACCCCTCCAAGAATTGCTCTGGCTCAAGGTTGTCAACCCGCGGGTCGACCCGGATTAGCCCGGACCCGGCCAAAAAAACGGGCCATACCAACCCATTTTCATGTCAACCCGGAAATAGTCAAACCCGGAGAAACCCGGTCAAACCCGGGTTGACCCGGCCGGTTAGCCCGTTGGAGCGGGTTAACGGGTTGCTCTTCCTGAGCCCCGTTGGCCGTTGCGTCGCCGTTTCTGCGGACTCCGCCTCTGCTCGGCCTCCGCCTCCGCCTTGAATTTTTAACTATGATGGATTTAAGTTGATGTTATGTGAATGATTTAAGTGTTGTTGAATTTTTACTATGTTGAATTTAAGTTGATGTTATTTAAGTGTGTTATAGTTGAAGTAGTGTTGCATTTTTTATGTTGGATTCAAGATAAGTATAATATAATTACATTTTCCATATTTCCGGGCTAAACCGGGCTAAAACGGGTGACCAATGACCCATGACCCACTAGTTCGTCCGGGTCCGGGTTGACCCGCGGTTTGACAACCTTGCTCTGGCTTAATAATCTATAAAATTTATGAAGCAGATTCATGGGCTCTTTTTGCAGGGATTCAAAAACTCTGGCTCCTGAGAGCTTCACGGAAGGGCAGATTAGACATTTCACGGTTATGCACATTTAATTGAAGTGCTGCGTTTTTGTTTTACTGAGCCCAATTGTTTTTATCATACATGGGCCAAATGGAATGCCTTCGGACATCATCTGGGCCTATTCTTGGATTTTCCACTTTTCCACAGTATTTGCAATTTAATCAAAATTCAAAACTCACCCCTATTTCCATCGTCTCTCCGTCGCTCACCAAACAAACAAAGAAACCCCTTCGCCTTCCTCTTCAATCTACAATTCCTTCTCACTTTGACAATCAAATCTTCTTCTACCTTCGACTCTGGCCATCAAATCGTCTCTGCCACTCACTTCATCCCAGCAGAGAGTTGTTGTAAACCAGCCGCCGTGTTATTATCCACCAATTCCTCTTGCGACTCTGACCAAAAACAAGCGACAAGCATGGGAGCAGTACTTCAGGAGCTTTAGGGATTTCGTCGGAAGTTCTACCACCCATCTGCCGCCGTGAATCGAGGGTCACTAACGCTGTCCGTTGTTTCTATCGCCCTCCTCCACCGTGAATCGATGGTCTTGTGAATCGATAGTCACCAACCCAGCCATTTTTTCTTCCTCTTATCGCCAGAAGAAAAAAAAGAACAAAGTTTATATTAAAAAAAAAACAGAATTTATCTTGCTCTCTCGGTCAAAGAGGATGGAGCGAAAGGGGATGGAAAGTGACCGTTTTTTAAGTTTGAGATTTAAGAGTGAAGAATATACATGCAAATTTGTATGTTGCTCATCTTGGTGGGAGTCTCGAGATGGGAAAGGACAGAGGATATAGAGAAGAAAGAAAGTTCCAGATGGTGTTGGTGTCACTGGTGGGTGGGAGACTGGGACTCTGGGAGTAAACAAGCGGAGAGATAAGGGGAATTGGCTGAAAATGCAAAAGAAAAGAACAAAAATAAGTGACATGATAAGATTAATTAAAATGATTTAACATTTTTAAAAAATATTAAATTTTATTAGTTAATGATATTTTAGAAAAACTAATATGTGTTTAGCAAAAAAATAATAAGATTAAATAATGAAAAAATGAAGGTGACCCTCAGTTCTGTTATTAATCCGGTTTACTTAAAATATAACCTTATCGAAGTACTAATTTAAAGTTCATCTGATTAAGTGACAAAATAACCGAGAACCGATTACGTGGTTTCGGTAAACCAAAAAATATAAACGGTACGGCTTGCGTTAAGTAATTTTTTTTTAATTAAATAGTTAAATGAAAATCGATGCAGATTATAACCGAACAAAACTGATTAAAGTTCATAAGGCATTCCTTCGCAGTGTAATTTTGGGTATATTTTTTAATTTATTTATAATCCCCTATATAATTTTATTAGCAGCAACTGAAATTACATGAGCACAACCAAGCTCTCTTGGACCTCTGTAGATCCAACATCAAATATGTCTATAAAATTTATGATGGAGATTCATATCTCCAATTTTCTCGATTTTAAAAATGTTGTTATGTGATTTTAAAAATATTGTTATGTGAGTGTTTCACGGAAGGTTATTAATGACCCTTCCCCTGTCTAAATGAAACTGTGTATTCCATTTAAGGAAGCCCATAATTAGATCCGCGCCAACCGGGCCTCCTATACTCTCATTTGGGCCTTTCAATAACAACTTTGAGTTATAACTCGGCGACAAGGTTTGACCAATTTTATTTCACTTTAATTTATATTTTTAATTTTAATCTTTTATCAAATTTTACCGATTTTGGGAGGAAATCCCTTATTTTCAAAAACCGCCAGATTTCGTCATCTTCCCCTTTCAGAAAATCTACCAACAACATCTCTACTCGGACCTATCCCTACTACCTAGCATTGGGCAAGAACGCACTCACTCGGGAAGACGATTGCATTGGAGTCCTCTGCGGAATTCACTTTCTCCTCTGGCAGGTGTGCAAAATCACCCTTCCATCTTGGATGTGATTTCTTTCTTCAATACAAGAGCATTTCCTTCAGATCATCGATTGGGTCAATATTGATAAGGACATAGTATTTATAGGTCAAACGGAGAAGACGGTTGGTGATGGCGGAGGTGGAGGTGGAGGCTAAAACGCAATACCAATTTGGCCAAGCTAAGCCGCCTGGTAGTTAGTTTGGTAATCTTTTTGGACACACACTTGAATTCATTTATTATGGGGTTGTTTGGAGATGGGATTTGTTGTAATGTATGTAACCAATCCACTAGCGAATAGAATTTGCCCCTTTTTTTGTTGAATATGGTTTCCCATAGTCGATATTAGGTTCACTTTTTTTAGATGCAAATTGATGATTTTCAATTTTTTAATTGTTAGTAATTTTTTGCATTTTTTTCATTCTTTTTAAATGCTATGTACAAAACTTATTTACTTTTTTCTGCACTCCTCTTCACTTGATTAACTGTTGTTGCCATGCTAAACTCTCACATCCATTATTGAAGTATCATTTTGTTGGTTTCTTTCGTGATGCAAGATATCGTTGCATGTGTTTTGGTGATTTAGATTATTTTTTTTAAGTACATCGATGCATGAGATAAATTTACCTTGCATGAGTCACATCTTATATTTTACAATGACACCAAGTTAGATGCATTTCTAATCAAAGTTGAAGTTGTTACTATTAGAGCATGGATACCTCCCATTTTATCGAGGTTAGGTCGTCTGAACCACAATTTGATCAGGGTTAAGGTGATTTTTGGATGGAAATTTGGGTATAAGGACATGTTTGATATTTTTCTAAAGTATAAGGGTATGATGTAAAAAATAGTGCATGTTTGATAAAATTGCATAGTAAATGGCCATATTATACCTATAACCCAATTATATTTAATTAGATTTCAAATTCATTTCTTAAAACTTCATTAGTCAAATACTTGAGTACTTTCCTACATTATTGACGGCCAATAACCAAGCAAAATAGTCAGTACAAAGGGATGGCAAAAATGTTTGTAACTGTGGATATCCGCCCGAATCCGATCGAATCGGGTAGGGTAACCCAAACCCGAAGGAATTTTAGTGGATACGGGTAAAACTTGAACTCGAATATTGCGAGTAATGGGTAGGCATGATTTTCTCACTATCCAACTCGAACTCGCTTGATTATGACATGCATATGCATTTGTCTAGAAATAATTATTAATTTTCTCTACCATCTTTTATATTTAGCATATAACTATAATATTTTCATAAAATTATGTTGTTTTAATTAATTTTCTTCACCCTAATGAATTATTGTCGTACTTTTACGCTTATGTAATGTGAGAATATGAGTGAATGGTAACATATTGGTTGGAGTTATAAAGAGAAATTATTATCCATGGATGACCGTGGATACCCGAAAACCGAACGGGTATGGGCATGATTTTAATTTTTTACCATTTCTTATGTGGGTATGGGTAACATCCGAACTACTTTGAGTAGGATAACGTATATGCATTATCCGCCCCGACCCGACCCATTGCCATCCCTAACAAGCATCAACAACATGGTGAAAACAAACATATATAAGTTAGTCATATGTACTAATATTTATCAAGCTTTCCCAATAAGGAAATTTACCAAACAAAATAATTACTACAAGAATCAACGACACGAGTGAAACCAACATTTTGGTTTCACCTATTAGAAAAAAATGTAGGGTTGCAATCCATCCAATACTTACGCAAGAAAAAAAGTAACACGACGCACCTATTAGGAAAAAAGTAAAGTTTCAATCCATCCAATACTTACACAAGAAAGAAACACACAACTACAAAATAAAATCAAGAAATACTTCAACAACAAGAACAACCCGGCCAACAGACGGGGCCCTGTGCTAGTAGAGATAGAGGAGGTTAACCGGTTGTTGAGTCTGATGAAAAGTATGGAGAGACGGTGATGGTTGAGCGTTTAGTGGGTCGGGCACTATTTGTGCCCGTTTACATTAGTAGTGTCTTTTCCATCCGCATTCGGCAAACCAACATCACTCAACCTTTCCATATTTACCCCTCTTAAAGACACATGTGCCTCATATTCATTCAAAAGTTCTGTGCTGAAAAATTTATAAACAAGCCGAGCTTAATCTAAGTAAAAACTCGACTCAGCTCGTTTGACGTCCTAGTCTAAATAATAGACCGTATATAACCATAGGCCAATACTACGGTGCCGCTGTCAAAAGTGCGGTATCGGTACCGCTGCTTTTAATTGGTCCACGTAGCTGTCTAAGTGGCTTAATTGTCGTTCAGAAAATCCATCCCAGACCCATTTCCCATCAACCGGCCCAACCTGGAATCGCTTCAATTTTTTTTTTAATTTTTTTTTCTCCTAGTAAAACACTGCAGTAATTAACTTTTTGAGTTTTTCCCAGAAAAACGAGAAAGAATCAACTGTCTTCCTCACCGTCTGTGATGATCGAGGTCGGAGGAGCATCGATTCCGGCGAGAAGATACGGAAATGGTTTGACAAGAAGGAGAAAGAATTGAGGAATGAAGGAAGAACATAGTGAATTGCTGAGGGAGATTGAGAAAGAAAGGGGGAGAGAAGAGGAAGAAGACAGCCGGGGAGAAGCAATTAAGCAAATATTGGTTCATTACATCGTTCCTCTTCTCGGATTGCTTTGCCGCCATCAAATCTAGTCGATCCCAAGTCCCAACCCAATGGAAAGTAAACCTTCCTCCCTCTCTGCCATCCATTTTTGAAACATCAAAACCCGGAGCATCGAAACCCAGATCTAAAGATTGATGATTGTAATTGCATAGTGGCTTTTGGTTTCAACTAATTCCGCTCTCGCTCTCCGCCTCGTTCCCCTTTGTCTAGCCTGCAGTCAAGAATTATTTATCCTTCCTCATCGCGTGAGCAGCTGCTGTTCCATAGGTCCACCATTTTTTACTCCTAAACCGGCTACCAGCTACTTAAGTAAATGATATGGTATTGATTAAGCTCCTCCATGGCTCAATAAGATAAAGAAAACAACATAAGAAACAACTACTGAGTACCGAGGACAAGCATTACCAGTGGCAATTAACCCACAAATAAAACAAGGGATTCGTGTCTGCAAGTGCTCTTTTTTACATAATAAATCTAGGAGGAAGACGGTGGAGATTTTAGTGGAGGTGAATAAAAGAGCTTATATAAGAGATGGCTTCGACAATTAAGAAATCGCCGGAATTTTTGTTGATTTTAATAGTCCGGCGGAGAGGGGGTGTGAGGAAGACGAAGAGATTCTTTTTGCATTTTTTTGGAAAAAAGTAATTACTTAAAATAATTGAAAAAGCTTTTTACTGTGAAAATAAAAAGCAGTAAGAAATTCCTTTGTGCGGTGGTTGGCCCGGTTCATTAGCGACTGATTGGGCTGGTTTTTGCAAAAATTGACTAAAGCCACATCATCTAGTTACCGACATGTGGCCCAATAGAAATCAGCACTTTTGAAAGCGGCACCATAGCATTAGCCATAACCATATATGGTCCATGGACCGCTCAATTTTCAGCCCTATTGAGCAGTGAGATAGTTTGGCAACTGTAACCGCTAATTAGAAGTGGACCAAATGGTTGAGAATGAGAATAGAAACTTGTAGCCCAACCAAATCTGGCCTGATAATTGTGACAAAGCCCAAAAAGGCTCGACCTCGTGGATTGAGGCCCACAGTCTCACATTGGCCATTAGGTCACGAGGACCATATAAATTATAAATTTAGAAGGCTAGGGTTTCTTACCACTGCCTCTGCTACATCTCGACGGCGAGAACAAGAGGGTTAGTGTTTTCTCTCTCGTTCGGCAGGACTCAGGCGGCGCGAGACAAACTTTCCGAAGCAATATGGTCAGTTCTCGCTTTCAGTCCTTGATCTGTTTGTATGATCAACTGCTGCGCTGTTCTTTCCATGAGTTGATTCTGATTATGGCTTAAATTTCTGGTGTTTGTTGTGGATGCAATTAGGCGAGAGGACTGAAAAAGCACCTGAAAAGGCTCAATGCGCCAAAGCATTGGATGCTGGACAAGCTCGGAGGCGCATTCGTAAGTCGCCGTGCTTATCTCCGATTGATCTTGATGCACCCTTCTCGGGTCTGAAGAGTTGCTCACTTCCTTTAGATTTCCTCTGTTTGGTTGTTTGCAGGCACCCAAGCCGTCCTCTGGCCCGCACAAGTCCAGGGAATGCCTTCCTTTGGTGCTTATTCTCAGGAACAGGTTGAAGTATGCTCTGACTTATAGCGAAGTCCAGGCCATATTGATGCAGCGACATGTTATGGTTGATAACAAGGTCCGGACTGATAAGACCTTCCCTGCTGGTTTTATGGGTGAGTCAAACTTCTCATTCCATTCCTTCATTTTCTCTGTTTCCTTCCGAATTCAGTGGGGTTAGTGGCAGTCTTTGCTAGATTTGTATCCGTATATTTGAAATGTCTTTTACATCAACAAAGAAATGGTTATGTGGGAATACCAATTGTTGGAGATATCTATTATCAAGAATGTTACAGATGATTAAAGTTTCGGACTATTCAAGGTTATGATGGTTGATTATCTTGTATGGAAGGCACGGCTTCATGCCTTTGGTGTCCCTCCTTTATGGTCTTGTAGCTCAATGTGGCCATCTGCGGCCTGGGAATATCATGTCTCTGTGTTTCTATGGAATTGCCGCATCTATCAAACTCGTCATTTATCTTGCTTTACATGTTAGGGTCTCTATGTTTGTGTGTTGGTTTGTTCAGTTGGACTTGGCACATATATATGGTATTTTGATTTTTACGTTGGTTTCCATTTGGTTGGTTGAAATAGATGTTGTCTCCATCCCCAAAACCAATGAGAACTTCCGCCTGCTGTATGATACCAAGGGGAGGTTCAGACTGCACTCCCTCCGTGATGAGGAGGCAAAGGTTTGTGTTGTACATTTATGAGTGTTTTTCTGCACAAGATTTGAGGGTATCTTTAGAGTAATGTTTAATGGTTGCTTGTGAATTTTGTTGTGTGGGTTGTTTTGGCTGCAGTTTAAGCTTTGCAAGGTCAGGTCAATTCAATTTGGCCAGAAAGGCATCCCTTACCTGAATACTTATGATGGCCGGACCATCCGCTATCCTGACCCGCTGATTAAGCCGAATGATACAATTAAGCTGGACTTGGAGAGCAGCAAAATTGTTGATTTCATCAAGTTTGATGTGGGGAACGTGGTCATGGTTACAGGAGGTAGGAACAGAGGCCGAGTTGGAGTTCTCAAGAACAGGGAGAAGCATAAGGGAAGCTTCGAGACCGTCCACATCCAAGATTCTCAGGGCCATGAATTTGCAACTCGTCTGGGCAATGTGTTCACCATTGGCAAGGGTACTAAGCCGTGGGTGTCTCTTCCCAAGGGCAAGGGTATTAAGCTCACTATTATCGAAGAGGCAAAGAGGAGGATTGCTGCGGCTCAGGCTGCTGCTTAGGTAACTTGAATTTGAAATGGATGTGGTTGAAGAAGTTTATCTAGTAGGATGAATGTTGTCCTTCGTATCCCTTTTCAAGACTTGACATAATTTTGCTTTACTATCAATTTTGTGGGATTTGGAATTTGCTTGAACATATTTCAGCTTGGTTGTGCTTCCTAGTATTTCACTTTTAGGGTAGGCCCGGTCAGCCTTATCCTGTGCCATATGCTTTAGTCTCCTATGCTTCTTCTGTTAATTTGTTTTTGTTTCTTGTCAAAGGTTTCCAATAAGGTGAATTTTTTTTCATAGGTGAGAATTTGTTTTGATAACAAGCTGATGAACCTAATGCTGAAACTTAATTTATTGTGTGCTGGAATTTGATGTCCGTAACAAGTCGGGAGTATAGATTCAATTTTTTTTTCCCAAACAGTTTTTGACTTTCAAATGCTCTATGAATAAAGTGTTGGGGGAGGAAAAGAAGAGTAGAGTGAGGGGAGTGGGACGAGGTTCGAGTTCGAGGGTTGAGGTTTTCCTTCAGTTGGTTGATTGGAATTCTGTATTTGGTAGTAGTATGTAAGCCAATGACTTGACTTCTCGGGTTCTAGTCAATTTCAGGCAATATGACTCAATGAAAACGTTGGTTTTCAACTCAATTTTATCGGTCTTTCTTTTCAAGGTCATATTTCTCTCTTCTATTATCATCCACCAACTTCTTTTCAAAGTCATATTCCTCTCATCCATTATCATCAACTAGGGTGGGCATTTGGTCGGTTTGGTTTCTACCGAACCAAAATTATGAATACTGGGTCCTCGATTTTCCCCAAACCTCAAACCGAATTCGAAGTGAATTATGATTCACGTTGAACCAAATTTGTTAAACTACTTGTATCTTCTCACTTCTAAATTATTTTTACCCCTAATATAAACAATAAATATGTATTTATATGCATCATTAATATCTTCTCACTTCTAAATTATTTTTACCCCTAATATAAACAATAAATATGTATTTATATGCATCATTAATGATAAAATTAAACTTTTCAAAACATAAGTCATAAAATATTTCAAATATTTAAGTCTAAAAACATAAAAATCCATTATTTGAAACTTGCAATTATAGTATTTCGGTCGGAAATTCAGTTCGGTTAAGAGAACCCTAGTTTTTGAACTATTCATATTTTCCTTCCGAATTTCGAACCGAATAGCATTAATTCGGTTTTGGTTTGGTTTAATTTGGTTTTGGTTCATTTCGGTTTGGGTTTACCGAACCGGTTGCCCACCCCTATGATCAACTAACTTGACCATTGAAGGATGTCCCTATCACTATTAACAGAAATAGGAGTGAGAAATTGGTACTCAATCTCATTTGAAGGGAAAACATCATCTCATGTCCCAAATCCGTACGAATTAATGGGTGCTCATTACTTGTATGAGACGGATAAAGAGTACCCGTGGGTAAACAATAGAAGTCTCACAGAGAATGAACCATGTCATTTGCCAACGTTGAGGTCAAAGAAGTGGGGGAGAGTCTCGACGGTTACTAGCTGTGTGGCATTGGGCCCATCTCCGAGGCTGCCGAATATATAGGAGGAGGGTGTGTTAAGCTTTTAAGTTTTAAGTGTTTAATTGATGGAATTTTACATGTGTGATAGTGATGATGCAATAAGAGGGTTTCAAACATTTGGATGAGAGTTGTCCGACATTATTGCGTGAGTTGCTAAATACAATTGCAACAATAGATGATGATGTAGTTGTGCAAGAGTCTAATAATCCCAACGATAATGTCACATGTGGCAGATGACATGGCGCCAACAAGGTGCCAACATGGCGGCTGCACATGTGGCATGCATGGAAGACTAGTAGCATAGAGATGCTCCTAGGATTCTCCACCTTAATGTAGAGCTTAATGGTGCACTTATGAGTCACATAATGGGTGACATTTATAGAGTGCATAATGGGGGGGGGGGGGGGGGGGGGGGGGACTTAATGGGGTGTATTGATGTAGTAGAGGGACATTATGAGGGGCATTGATGCTTTGTATGTGGAGAGGCCTATATAAGGAGTCATCTCCCTCACTTGTACTCATTCCATCATTTTTTAGAGTAATACACACTAGAGAGTTCTCCCAATCCTTTGTCTTTGTTCTTATTCTTTGCTTGCAAGTGAGTTGAGAGAAAGGCTGCCTAGCGCTCTAACGGAATTGAGAGCTAGGGCCGCACGATCGAGAGTAAGGTCGTGACAAGTGGTATCAGAGCCCGGTTCGACTTTGTACTTGCAAAGTAGAAGCAATAGCCAGAAGGAAAGGAAGAACCTCACCAAAAATGTCGGGATCAGATAGCGGCGTTACCGAGCAGGAGAAACACCGTGGAAGGGATACCGTGCAGAATCCCAAGCCAAAGGGTGACAAGTCCAGCACTCGTGATCCTATGACGTCTCTAGAGAGGCGTGTCTCTAGAGTGGAAGTGAAGGTGGCGGAAGACATCACTGCCATCGAGGATTTGGGAGCTAACTTCGCCCAAGTCCAAGGCGATGTTCAAGGTATGAATGCTCGTTTATCGAGCTTGGAGATTGGTCATGATGGCATACGAGAAGAGCTTGTGGCCCTCATCAACAACACCATCAACACATCCTTGAACAACGCCATTGAAGTTGTGAAAGAGTACGTCCAGGCTCAGCTGGTCGACGTGAAGGAGGAGATTGCAGATCTCAAGAGTGAGGTCACTCTCGTGAAGAGAGCCATGGCTAGCGGACCAGCCCCGGTGCAATCTGTCCCACGTGCTGATGTTCCAAGACCGAAGAGCTTCGGAGGTTCAAGGAACGCGAGGGAGTTAGAGAACTTCCTTTGGAGTCTTGAGCAGTACTTCAAGGTGTCCGGCATCCAAGAGGATGAGGTAAAACTCCGTGCCGCTCCACTATACTTGGTTGATGTTGCAATGGTGTGGTGGAGGCGACGAGAAGGGGACGTCAAAAGAGGTACTTGTGTGATGGTAACGTGTGAAGATTTCAAGAGAGAAATCAAGAAGCAGTTCTACCCAGAGAACGTGGAGTTTGAAGCCCGTTCGAAGTTGAGAAGACTCACCCAGAGGGGTGGAGTTCGAGAATATGTGAAAGAATTCTCGGAGATGCTTCTAGAGATCCCGGACATCACGGACAAGGAGGCCATGCACGACTTTCTTGATGGGCTGCAACCATGGGCCAAGATGGAGATGCAACATCGAGGAGTGCAAGACCTTGCAACTGCCATGGCCACGGCGGAGTCTTTTGTCGAGTACAAAAGGCAAGAGAGCAGCGGCAAAGAGAAGAGTTCGAAGCCCAACAAGGGTGGAGAACAGCAGAAGCCTTTCAAGGAGGGTTCTCGCACTCAACAACACCAAGGTGGTTCGAGCAAAGGGGGTAAGTACGAGCCAAAACCCATGTCTTGTTTACTTTGCGACGGACCACATCGAGTGCAAGATTGCCCAAGGAAGGCGAGATTGGCAGCCATGGAAGCTCAAGATGAGGAGCCCAAGGCGGCGGAGGCCAAGATTGGCTCAATCCGCAAGCTTGGCGCGGTGAAGACCGACGTCAAGGAAAGCAAGCGGGGGAGGTGCTATGTTCTGGCGCAATTCATGCAAGGCGAGTCAAAAGCCTTGGTGGATACCGGTGCCACGGACAACTTCCTTCGCATCGAGGAGGCAAACCGGCTGGGTATTGCCTACGAGAAGGGGCAAGGGAGGCTCAAGACGATCAACTCGGAGTCCATCCCGATCCATGGAGTTGCTCACAACGTACCAATGAAGCTTGGCGAGTGGGAAGGCCTCATCGACTTTTCCGTCGTCACCATGGACGATCACCCAGTCATCCTCGACATCAACTTCCTCGACAAGGAGGGAGTGCTCTTGAAGCCCAACTCCAACACGATGTGCTTGGAGAATGAAGGGGAGTTCCATGCGGTCCATCTCTTGGGAGAAGATGGCCGCCATAGTGCTCTATCGGCCATGCAGGTATTGAAGGGGTTCAAGAAGAATGAACCAACCTTTCTTGTGTCCTTGAAAATGGAGGAAGAATGAGGCTCAATGGGAATCCCAACTCCCATCATCGAAGGCGTCCTCGAAGAGTTCGATGACGTGATGCCATCGGAGTTGCCCAAGAAGCTACCACCAAGAAGAGAGGTGGACCACAAGATCGAGTTGGAGCAAGGAGCGAAGCCCCCTTCGCGAGCACCATACCGCATGTCGCCACCGGAGTTAGAAGAATTGCGGAGGCAGCTCAAGGACTTGGTAGACGCAGGCTACATGCGGCCATCGAAGTCACCTTTTGGGGCACCGGTGCTGTTCCAAAAGAAGAAGGAAGGGTCGTTGCGCATGTGCATCGACTATAGAGCCATCAACAAGTTGACGGTGAAGAACAAGTGGCCGATTCCCCACATTGCCGACTTGTTCGACCAGCTTGGAGATGCAATGTGGTTCACCAAGCTAGATCTTCGCTCAGGCTACTATCAAGTGCGGATAGCAGAGGGCGACGAGCCAAAGACGGTTTGTGTGACGAGGTATGGCTCTTACGAGTTTCTTGTGATGCCATTCGGTCTCACCAACGCACCAGCCACGTTTTGCACTTTGATGAATCAAGTGTTCGAGCCATTCTTGGACCGGTTTGTCGTGGTCTACTTGGATGACATCGTCGTGTATAGCAAAACACTCGATGAGCATGCCGAGCATCTACGCCAAGTCTTCCAAGTCCTTCACGACAACGAGTTGTACGTCAAGAGGGAGAAGTTCACATTTGCCGCCACGGAGGTTCCATTCTTGGGGTACATCATTGGTGGAGGCAAGTTGAAGATGGATGGAGCAAAGGTGCAGGCAATCCAAGAATGGGAGCCGCCGACGAAGGTGCCTGAGTTGCGGTCATTCCTCGGCCTTGCCAACTACTATCGGAGGTTTATCAAGGGCTACTCCAACATTGCAGCACCCTTGACGGATCTCTTGAAGAAGAACAAGGCGTGGGATTGGTGGGAAAGGTGTCAAGAAGCATTCGAGGCCTTGAAGGCAGCAGTGATGAAGGAGCCCGTGCTCGTGCTCCCCAACCCGACGTTGGCCTACGAAGTGCAGACCGATGCATCCGACTTCGCGATTGGAGGAGTGTTGATGCAAGATGGGCATCCCATTGTCTTCGAGAGTCGGAAGCTCAGCGAGACGGAGAGGCGATACACCGTTCAAGAGAAGGAGATGACGGTCGTGGTGCATTGCTTGCGCATATGGAGGCACTACTTGTTGGGGTCAAAGTTCGTAGTGAAGACGGACAATGTGGCAACGAGCTACTTTCTGACGCAGAAGAAGCTCACCCCTAAGCAAGCGAGGTGGCAAGACTTTTTGGCCGAGTTCGACTTCGTTATGGAGTACAATCCAGGCAAGGCGAATTCCGTTGCCGATGCTCTTAGCCGCAAGAGTGCAGCCGCAAGCATCAGCCAGCCCACGTTTCCTTTGAAGGAGCGGATCGTCGAAGGCCTTGGCCATGACCCCTTCGCCAAAATCGTAGCGGAGTACATCGAGCAAGGTAAAACTCGGCGGTTTTGGATGAAGGATGGGCTCATCATGACCAAGGGAGAGCGGGTGTTCGTGCCAAGATGGGCTAACTTGAGGAAGGAGATCATGGAGTGCCATGATTCCAAGTGGGCGGGCCATCCCAGCATCGAGAGAACGCAAGCGCTCATCGAAGAAGCATACTTCTGGCCGCGTATGAGAGACGACGTGGAGATGTATGTGAAGACTTGTCTTGTGTGCCAACAAGACAAGATGGAGCAGAGAAGCCCGGCAGGCTTGCTAGAGCCCTTGCCCACGCCTCAACAACCATGGGAGAGTGTAAGCATGGATTTCATCATCGGACTTCCCAAAGTCGATGGATGCGGTTGCATCATGGTTGTGGTGGACAGGTTTTCGAAGTATGGAGTGTTCATTCC